ACGTTGTCCATCAAACTAAGAGAGAGAGCAAAAATCTTTTCTGTTTTGTAGCTGGGACTGAAACAACTGGAAAGACACAAACACTGATACAAAGGATATATTTTCTAATCCTTACATATTTTATTGCTAATTCTTTTCAGAATTAACATATTAAATTTAACCAGTAACAACAAATGTCCAATGCTTCCATGCTTGCCACGTTGAAATCACACAATAGTCAACTTCTAGCAGTGCATAATGGAAACAGGGTGAAAACTACACCAGTTCAGGTGTAGTTTCTCTCAAGATAAGGGACGCATGTCAGAAGTAATAAAATAGCTGATCTCCCAACTTACATGGATGTTTGAAATTTTCTCCCAGTCATGCTCATCAAATCTGTCTCCTAACAAGTCACTTTCTGGAAGCTGGCTGAAGCAAAAGATACAAAGAGAAAGAAAGAACCCTATTAAAAAGTTAACTGAACAGTCAGTTTCTCTGCCTGACCTTGCTTCATCTTATTCCTCTCACCTATTATCAACTTCCACAAAACCTGACTACCTCAAAGCATCAGGCTCTTTAACATCCATAACTTTTCCCCAAACCAGGTTTCCTTCTTACTGGGTTTACTAAAATAATTTTACTTAAGTATAAGGAATGCACTGTTGAAAAACAGCCCCCTACAAGATCATGTTAGTTTAGCAGGATAAACAGTTAAATGCTGTATCAAAATGAATTCCTCCGGACGCTTTAGAAAGCAAAAGCTCAGAATTATTAGAATGTGCAGAGTTCTGTCTCCTTGTTGCTAAAACAAAAACTATTTCAAACTGTGCCTCTATACTGGCTGTACGGATTACATTTGTAGATCAACACCCAAAACATGATTCTTAGTGAAGAGCTGTAGAGATGAGAGCTCTGCAGAGTTTGAACGGCACTTGATAGTTTTATTTGTGTTGGCTTATGTGAAGGTTTCTCCAAATGTCATAACCAGAAGTGCTCAAGGAAGGAGGGAACTTTAGGAATTAGCCTCCAAGAACTTATTTGCATTTTCACCATGAACATATAAAGGTAACTTCTTACTTAATTGCCTCTATTTCTTGTTCCACTTCTTTGATTTGCTTTTCCAAGATTTGTTTCTCCATTTCAGTCTTGACTTTTTCCAGTTTCTGATTCCAGTAACTCAACCTGTTCAAAGACATTTTCAACATTACTTGAGACTAGATGTGAAGTAGGTCAATGGCATCAGAAGATACATAGCAAAGGTGGTTTCCCCACGAGTATCATTCTTTCCTTCAATTTATTTATGCAGTAAACAAAACTGTTCTTCTAAGTTTTCCCACATGGCAAACTCATCCTACTTTTACTGCTTCAATGCAAACGGTTGACCCAGAACAGGTCTCAGATTAATCATTTTGGTATTTACAGAGATAATCAGCGATGTGAGCAGCCAACAAACAAGACTGTACCAGCTCTAGGCACATAAATCTCTCACAGGACACACTGTTATGGCTCACTTGCAACATATCAAGTTCAGCTTCAAGCCCTGTAGACTATTTTAAGTTATACCACTGTGTCAACAGAAGAAATAGATGGCTATAAAATGCTACAGTATCTTCAGAACAAATGCATTCCACCTGCCAGTTACCTGCAACACAGTCATCAACTGTTTACAGTCCAAGCTGAATGCTGTAACCTCTTGCTTATGGTCAGAACTTTACAGTCCAAGACCCTTCAATACCAGGTAACACACAGATAATATAGCTGGCAACAGAGAATGGAGGATGCTGCCATCTACAACAGCATCATCCTCTGCACTGGTGCCCTCAGGACATGGAGTTTGGGTATCACTGCTGCAATTCCCAGGCCCCAAAGTGGTAAAGAATCCCCAAGAATCCCCACTGTGCTTTGTAACCTTACTGAAATTGCAGAGAGTTAACACAGAACTTGCTGAAGGCAGCAGCATGTCTTACGTCAGATGTTACGTTGTCACGGGAAAGGATTTTTGCACAGTACTTACTTCAGTAGCTTTGGCTGAAGCAGGCGCTGCAAGCGGTCACTTACGACTGATTTCTGCAATAGTACCTTCTCTCTGCTTTTCCCTTGACAAAATAAAGTAATCAAGCATTCAGTGATTAGTACAAAACCACTGCCAAGAAAAAGAGTGACGCATTGCTTTCAGCATCACTGTTAAAAGTATGCCTCAGGTCTTTGATAAGAGTTCATCATTCATTTTGTTCAGCAAAGGAACTATCAGAAGCTAGGTAAATTAATCATATTCCCCACATAAACCACTAACATCAATGTCTAACCTCGGCAAATGGCAGCCTCTTACTCAGTTTTACTTCCAAGGAGGCATCAATGAAGATCACCACACAGGTGGATGTAACCACATAGCTTTAAGTGTCTCCTGAACTTCTCTCATCTAAGCGCTACCCTTGCATGGTCTCATTTGCTTTTGGTGGGTTCATGGGAGAGATGGAATGACACATCAAAACAAATGCAAGTGAAAGGAACGAAGTCATTAATAATTCAGCAAATCAATTCCTAAAGCATCCCATTTTCTTTTAAGTACTCTTTCCGTGAATTCAAGTATGAAATACCCAAAGTGTTGGTGTTTAACTGCAGATGTGGGGGGAGCAAAGATACAAAGATAGACATTTGTTAGAGCAGAATGCTGAGCAGCACGTACGGTTCCTTACATTTTGTTGAAAGCAGTTGTTCAAAGGATTTTATGCCCTGAGCCGCCTTTTCCTTGGCATCTTCATTGGAAGGAGGGCCCTAGTAAACATTAGAAAGGTTAGATATGCTAGAAGAGTCGGATACACAGAAAATTTGCCTATTCTTCTTAGAACTCTAGTATGAGCCACTGCAAAAAAAGAATGCTAACTCAGACTTGCACAGGCTGCCACATTAGAACTGCTCAGTCACCTTTACTAGTACTAGCTTGCAGATATGTCAGAAAACATAAGAATATATAAGCAGACACTTAAGGAAGTTTGCCCACAGTTACAAAGCACATTCTCAGCTCAATGCCAGGCCTGCTCACATCAGCTGACCATTGGTTGAAGAAGCATTCTAAATTAGACTTAACACATGTTGGTACATTTGAAAAATACAACGTTCAATTGCCCCATGGCTGGAATGGCACCGTTCTGAACTCTCAGGTGGCACAATCAGCCGTGAGTTGGACAAACATTTCCAAAGGACAGTAAGCAACAAGTGAGGGAAAAAGAGATTGCAAAGTCAGAAATGATACTGATAGTTACAGGTTACAATGTAACACTGTTACAACACAGATACAATTTAAATCTATCACTGCAACCTCGTTATATTTACTTACAATTCCTGTTGTTTTATCCTTAAAGTACGGCTTCATAAAATGGCCCAGAAATATATTTGCTGGTAGATTTCTACCATCTGCTGCTTTTGCTGTTTTTGTGCCATCGAGTTCACACATGATTTCTTTCTGTAATAAAAGAATTAAACCATGTCAGTACCTTTAAATTCCCTGATTTCAGAGAGCAGTGGCTGAGCTGTCACAAATATCCCAAGAAGGGTTCAGATAATTTGCAGCACCAGACTACAGATTAGTGCATGTGTTAACAGTGGGATTTGGAACTTCACAGGTTTATCTCCAGTACAATGGAGATAAAAAGATAAAAAGAAACATCTATATTCTGATTTAATAGCTAAAACATTCTCCAGTGGCAGCATTTCTGATGGTAAGAAGAGATGGAATCTTCAGTAAGCCACTCCAGAGGTCACCATTGAGGTGACACTGGTTTGAATTGCCATGAAGAAAATGAACCCAAGTCTCCTTGTCCCTGTCCACGCAGGCTGGTAACTACACCAGCACATAAACAAGGACTGTGACTGCTAGTTTCACTGATACCCGCAGTACATTAACATAGTGGAAAGTTTTACTGGGAATGAGGCAGAGGAAGATGACAGCTAGCAACCTAAAAAAAGCACATTTTACTCCTGTTTGCTCACCTGCTGTTCTTTGTTTTGTGCAATCAGAAGCTCAACTTCCTCAATCTTTTCCTGGATAACTTCCTGGTACACATGGTTCATCTGCAGACACGTTTCTGGATCTTCTGGCAGGCTGTTTACAGTATCATCATCACTACTGTCCTCTTCTTTTTCCACTTCCTTGAGGCATTTTAAAGAGTTAAAAGAAAAAAAGAGGGAAATGCTTGCTCTGAAGAGCAGAAGCAGGTATGCAGCATGGTAATTAGTTATGTAATTCAATACTTCTATCGTGTTACAAAACTGATTCTCCAAAGAATTGGAAGCACCTGTCTCTCCCTGATAGGTGCTTCAAATGCTCCCAGAGGCAGGGTTACCTGCCTTGCCCTAATCCCTTTCTTTCTGTCCATTACTTCATCATGCTGTCTAGTCCAAAGTTTGACTCTGAACCTTGCCAAGAACTGTTCTTTACCCAGAACAGTGCAAAATTTCCCCTTTCTTCCTGTCCCCTTCAGTAGACAGATGGAAAGACATGCTTAAAGAGAAAATGGTTACCATTTCTTCCTGAGAATCTGAGTCGTCATCTTCAGTATCTGTCAGACAACAAAAATACAAAAACGCCGACTGCAGTGAAAAACACAGCTTCAAAACCAAGGATTTTTCAAGTAAAGCACACAGAATAAGGTACTGCATAGTGTCTCATGCATGAGCATTAGGGTTTTCAGGTATTGCCAACATCCTCAAGTAAAAATGTTCAGTTATATGCTGCGCATGCACTTTTTTTTGTGGTTCTAGAGTAGGAAAATTGGCAGCTTCTGCTGGCTACAGCAGCAATCAAGCTGCATCTTGGTCCCATGCCTCATGGTAAAATAAAGGCCTCAGGATGTGCAGACAAGCGCATGTTCCAACCCAACAAACCCCATATTCCATGACCACCTAGCAACCTTTCACCAGTGTTCAGCAGTACTGGTTTTGCCTTCAGTGTGGCTATGGAGTTCTGACATCTTTGGAGGAACATTATAACAACTGAGGTGAAGGATTCGTGACAGCCACCAGAGGTACTGACACCAGAGCTTTTAATTTGCCCCCTTTATTGCTTTGAAAAAATGATTTTAGGAAGCACAGCCAGGCTGAGCAGTGGAATGATGCAGTGGGGTTCACGTGGTCCGTTCAGAGAGCGGGGAATCGGCCGGTTTAACCGTGCCAGCGGCTGGTGGGTGGCCGCATTTCACAAGGCAGCTCGTGCCCTACCTGAACGCCTCCGGGAGGGGTCGGGGCCGTTCTCCGAGCCTCCCTCGAGCGTTTGCCGCGGGTTTCGTTACAGAAACGAGCGGAGCGGTGGTGCCAGCGGGCTGCCCTCCGCCGGGACCGCCTGAGGAGCCTGTGCGAGCGGCTCCTCGCACCGACGCCAGCGGGCACGGCGGGCCCGGAGCGCCCGGAGGCCCGTACCGGAGCCGAGGCTGCAGTCCGACACGTCCAGCCCGCTGCCGGCGGGCTGCAGGCTGCGCTCCAGCTCCTCGATCTCCCTGCGGATCTTCTCCCGCTCCGCCTCCAGCTCCATAGCTGCCGGGAGGCGGCGCGGGGCGTCCGGACATGGCGGCGGCCGCAGCCCGAATGCTCCGGGACCAGGCCGCGGCCGCTCCGAACCCGCCCCTCTCGCCCGTCAGCCAATCGGAGTCAGCGCCGCGGTCAGCTGAGCCCAGGCACGTGGCAGCGGGCAGCCAATGGGACGCGAGGCGGAGCAGCCCGGAGCAGAGCTGGGTCCTAGCGCCCGCCCGCTGCGGGAGGGGGGTGAGGGCGGGGGGCAGGAGCCGGTCCCGGTGCCGGTTCTGGTCCCGGTCCCGGTTCTGGTCCCGGTGGGGCCGCAGTTCCGCAGCGAGGCCCCGTCCTCCCCCGGCAGTTTCACTGTCCGTCCTCGGGCACTTCGGAGATGCTGTCTATGGACTTGAGGAGATCGGCCACCAGCTGCAGCGACTCCGCTCCCGACACCAGCTGCCTGCAGCGTGAGATGGGAGAGGAGGGTAAGGCACCAGGGCGGGGGTTTCTGAGCATTTTGCAGAAAAAATGAAAAAAAATCAATCGCAGGTTAGCAAAAAGAACAGGGACTAACTCACTCACCTGGCACAATAACACAAGACCCCAAGAAACCAACCCAACCCCCTGCAGCGGGGGAGAACACCACGTTAGAGGGGGGAGGATAACGCACCCAGGTGGCGTTTTTTGTAATTTTTCAGAAAAAAAATCAAGCACAGGTAACAAAAACAGGGACCAGCTCACCTGGCACACACAAGACCCCAAGCTTCAGTCCTAAAATCCAACCCACCAATAAACCCAACCCCGGGAGGTTTCGTGGTGCTCCTGATGCCAGTTTGGGGGTGGGAGGTGTTAGGGGCTGGTTTTGAGCCTCACCTCACTGCAGACCGCGAGTTCGCAATGACCGTGAGAAGGTTCTGGAAGGCAGCCTCGGCGTTCTGCTTCACCGCAGCCAGGCTCGCCGACTGCCCCGACCTCAAGCGCTTCGTTCTCCTGCCTTGTAGTTCTTCAGCTGAACCTTGGGAGGGAAAAATTAAAAAAATATATAAAAAAAAAGAAACACTTGATGTGAAAATAACCACAGAACTCGGCTGTGAGCAGGGTGAAGTGAGTATTGAGCGGATTTTTAGCCAGACTGCCTAGAGAGAAAGTCCTCCCAGCTCTGAGAGCCCCTACGCAGGGCTGTAACGTCTCTCCAATTTCCCTCCCTTCTTCATAAGGACATTTTCCTACAGGTAAACATCTATTTGCCTTGTAGCACTCCAGGCCTTCACTGATCCCAAGTACCAAACTGCATTTGAACGTCATGGAAAACTTAACAAGAACTTTAAGTTCCAAGATAGCACCACAAAATAAGCACCACGTCACAAAAATGACATTAACAGTCAGCACAGAGCTTAAGCATTCTAACCCAGTACGTTTTTTATAAAATTTGACAGGAAAAATGAGGTGTAGTTAGGAATTCTCAGTTTCCCTTTTGTAGTCTCGATGTCAAGATGCTCCCAAGTCCCAGTACGCTCAGCACGGCCTTAACGATAAACTGCTTCGTACCTGCAGTAAGGCATTTTCCTGTTTCAGTTTTGCAGCACTGTTTTCTGCTTTAAGAGCCCGTTTCTGGAAGAGAATAAAGATGACTGAGACCACAGCAGGCCTTAGGACACAGCAAGCAGCCTGAGGAACATCGGAATTCGCAATTCCAGCACAGAAATTAAAGTAAGTAAGTTTGTGTTGCAGCACCTCTTTCTCTAAATGCTTTATGAGGTGGGGATGGTGCACCCGGTCACCTCCCTCCTCTCCTCCCAGTTTCTCCTTTCTCATTATTAAGTGCAGTCCTTTACTTCCAACCATTACTTTTTTTTTTCGTTGGACTAGAGGAAAATGTACCCAGAATAAGAAAGCAGGAAAAACTGCTCTTAGTTCATACAGGAGGCATTTGCAGAACTCAGCAAAAAAGCAGCTGAAGGTGCTTATGAATACAAAAAATGGTATTTCTGCAGAGATCTCCCTTATCCCAGGCAATGAAAGGAGTTCTAGACTGGGACCCAGGCTTGCTATAAGGGAAAAACACAGCCCCACATCAGAACTACTTAGTGCTCACATGGGTGAAGCAATCACTTCAGCTTCCCTTGCTCTCCTGGGAGAGGAAAGAACAGAAGTGGAACTGCGAATTTCCTAGTGTGAACAAGGTTCTGCTGCTATGGCAGATGCCACCACTTACTGTCATCAGCTGGAGATTTTGTTCCACGTGCTGCACCATGGCTTCTAAGTCCTGCGTTTCTTTCTCTTCTTTAATTTTGTTTTCCTCAAGCTTTCTTTCAAGTTTCCTCATCCTTAAAATAAAGAGAACATTCAGTAGGCAGTTGGAACATCTAATACCCTTGTAAGAAAATTCTCAGGAAGGACCAAGAAACTCAATTCTTCCACATTATAAGAAAAGTTAAGTCTTCCCACAGCAGTACAGCTTCAGGCTGTAGCTCAGGGGATTTCTGCATTCAGCATCCACCAGCAGTAATTTAAACTATCCAGCTGAAGGCACAACGGCCATACAGAAAGTTCATCTGGTCACAGTCGGTCTAGATAATGGTAATTCCCCAACAAACAGCTACCCTATCACCGTAGGCTTACGCACTTGTCTGCTTGAGTTTCGGAGAGAATCTGAAGCTTATTGATCCTGCTTCTCAAACTGGCGTTCTCTTCTTTTAGCTAAAAAATAAAAGTTCCTATTAGAAATGAGGGCACTCATAAATGGGGTTAGTACACTGCTAACATTCCAAGGCCAGGACCAGATGAAATAATTCAACTTTCTTATCTTTAGTGCTAAAAAGCAGCATTCGAGGTTACTTTCACACCTAGTTTTTCCTTCTCGATGCCACTTAACTTCACCTAACCCCGCAGGGCACAGAAACGAGGCAGCAAACAATCCGTGTAATTAGCCAACCGCTGTTTACGTGAAATTATGAACCTGTGCAGTGACGAGGCCGCTCTCACCTCCTCGTAGCCGGGCGGCGGGGGGGGGGCTCCGAGGGGACCCTCACAGAAGGGGCCGGCGGCGAGGTGGGCCCGCTCCACGGCGCAGGGCCGGTAGCTGCCGCCCCATTCCTCTTCCTCGTCCTCCTCCTGCTCCTCTTCGTCGCCGGAGGCCGGGAGCAGCCCCCCCCGGGCACCTCGGGCTTGGCTGCGCACGAATTCGTGAAAGGAGAAGGGGTTGGGACCGGGGTCGGGGCCGGGCTCCGCCGCCATCGCCTCAGCCCCCCTCAGGCAGCGCCCGGAGAGGGGTGCGGCTTCACCTCAGCGCTCGCCCCGCCCACTTCGGCGAGCGAGCCAATCGCCAGCTGCATTCCGAACCTCTCCACCAATCCCCGCAGAGAGGGGCGAGGCGCCGGGCGGAAGGGAAGCGCGGAGGGGGACGGCAAGATGGCGGCCGCCATGGCCTGGCTGAGGCGCGGAGCGTGGGGCCCGGCCCGGCGGTGAGCGCGGGGCTGTGAGGGGAGAGGGGGGAGAAAATGGCGGGAGGCGGCGCTGAGGGGCCTCGGCCGTCCCCTCACGGCGGCTGCCGCTGTCCCCGCAGGTGCGGCCGGAGCTACAGCGCGGGCGGCGTCTCCCCCGGCGTGCCGCTGAGCTGCCCCCTGCCCGGAGTGCCCAAGGCGGTGTTCGCCGCCACAGAGGGCCGGGAGCGCTTCGAGACGCGGGTGACGGCGCTGGAGAACGGGCTGAGGGTGGCGTCGCAGAGGAAATTCGGGCAGTTCTGCACCGTGGGGCGTGAGTGAGGGGGCGGCGGAGGAAGAGGAGGAGGAGGAGGAGGTGGTGGCCGTGAAGGAGGAGGAGGAGAGGATGAAGGAAGAGGAGGAGGAGGAGGAGGAGGAGGGGGGGATGAAGGAGGAGGAGGAGGAGGTGGTGGGGATGAAGGAGGAGGAGGAGGAGGTGGTGGGGATGAAGGAGGAGGAGGAGGAGGTGGTGGGGATGAAGGAGGAGGAGGAGGATGCTGTCCTGTTCCACACCGAAGGCCCTGTGCTGCCCCTGTGGTGTTCCCGTAGCAGCTGCTGAGGTAAAAGCCCCGCTAACCCCTCGCCTTCTCCCCCGCCAGTGCTCATCAACTCGGGATCGAGGCACGAGGCCAAGTACCTGAGCGGCATCTCGCACTTCTTGGAAAAGCTGGCCTTCTCGGTGGGTATCATGCCTGGTGTGCGGGTCCCTGTGTGAAATACCAAAAGCTGCCGGCAGTGTGAGCGACAGGGCAAGGGGAGAAAGAGCAGCTTGTCCTTACCGTGGCAGCATGGGTTTAATTTGTTTAAATGGGTGCTGATGGTACTGAAAGTCTGTCATGCTCTCATCTCTAACGTTAGTGACTATTAGTGACATTAAAGAACAGTAGGAGGCATCTGTGATGGAGCAGGAGATGTTTGTTCTGAGCTATACCGAAGGGCTGCTAGTTCTCAGTCTGCTAATCCGTAACACCGGTGTCTTTGTTCTTAGTCCACAGCTCAGTTTGGCAGCAAAGATGAAATTCTCCTCACCTTGGAAAAGCACGGGGGCATTTGTGACTGTCAGGCTTCAAGGTATGAGGCTTTTCCTACATCGTTGGTTGCCCTAATGGTTGTAACGCGGTGGTTTGGGGTGGCTGAACCCTTGCTTTTTCTGGTGTGTGAGCGTAGAAGTTGCTTTTTGGTACTCAGCATCAGAAACCTGTTTCTGAAAACTGCTAAGAAGTCCCAAAAGTGAACCTGGCAGGGTAACGGAAGTCAGTGCTGTTGCCTTTTCAAAGCACTTGATGCATCGTGGCCTCTTTATCAGTGGTGTCCTGAATTACGTTTACTGAATGCTCTGGGATGTGACTCCCTGGTGCAGAGCCCCTCTTGCCTTGCAGGGACACCATCATGTACGCTGTTTCTGCTGATGCCAAAGGCCTGGACACGGTGGTCAACTTGCTGGCAGATGTGGCACTGCAGCCCCGGTTATCAGGTGTGAGAACACAACATCTGCCTCAAAACGGAGTCCCAGAGCAGGACTCTGAGCAGGGCTTGAGAGTACATTAGTTCAGTGCTTGTCAAGAAGCTTCAGAGCTCTCCTGTAACCAGTGAGTACTTTTGCATGGTGGTGGTGATTTCTTGCTTCCTCTCTTACTATAGATGAAGAAATTGAGATGACTCGGATGGCCATACGGTTTGAGCTGGAAGACTTGAATATGAGGACCTGATCCAGAGCCTCTCCTCACAGAAATGATCCACTGCGGTAAAACACTGAAAAGTCCATGTTGTTATGTTTAGTGTCCTCTGTGAGACATGCTGCATACTTTCTCAGCTTTTCCTTAACTGCAGAGTTTATTTTAGACTGTTTAGAAAACATGAGTGCTTCTGTTATTTAGATTTCAGTGAGGGGAGAAATTTTGCTTTCCCTCCACTTTGAAATCACACTTATATGCATAAGATTTTAACGTAAATTAAAGCTAACCATAGCTTGCCATGGTTAACATGTTGATTTATGATGACATTAGTGAAATAATGCTCAGCCCATCCTCTCTTATATGTCTCAAACAGGCATAATTATAAAATAAAGGGAAGGTTTAAGTTGAGGGGCTGAAGCAGTACTTGCTGCTTCAATTTATGTTTCCTTTTAGGCAGCCTACAGAGAAAACACAGTTGGGCTGAACAGGTTCTGTCCAGTGGAAAACACTAACAAAATCGACCGGCAAGTGCTGCACTCGTACCTGCGCAACTACTACACGCCCGACAGGATGGTGCTGGCCGGGGTGGGAATCGAGCACGAGCAGTTGGTGGAGTGTGCCAAGAAATACCTGCTGGGCGTGGAGCCGGTGTGGGGCAGCGCGCAGGCCAAGGATGTGGACAGATCGGTGGCTCAGTACACGGGAGGCATCGTCAAGGTAACGGAAGGTGGAGGTGGCCTTTTCCTTCCTGGTGGAGGTTCAGATTTGGATTTGAATTGATTTTTTGTAGGATTTGCTTTTTTAAAAGTACGCACTGGTCATGTAGAAGTAGTCTGTGATATGCAGTCCAAACAGACCATGGTAGCCATTACCTGGGTGACAGGTTAATTAACATGAATTTATCATGCTGAATAGAAAACAAACATGAAAATGTCCTAATAACTTGTTTGCTTTTCCCACAGGTTGAAAAAGACATGTCAGATGTGAGTCTCGGCCCTACTCCAATCCCGGAGCTTACCCACATTATGATTGGGTTAGAAAGCTGCTCATTTTTAGTAAGTACCTGCCTGAAATGCTCTGTTTCGGTTGCTCTACTTGCAGACTCCCAGACTACGATCTCTCATTACATAAGTGTTGGCACTCTTGCTGCTGATGGCGCGTGTACATACAGCTTTTTCACTGTCAGTTTGATAAAGGCACTGACCTTTACACTCCTGTGCCATGTTTCTTTTGGACTCTTTCTCTCTTTACTCATCCCTCGCTCTTGAGCCCTGCTTGGTCTCTGCTATTGGGTGACTGAATTTCTTGTTGCAATTCAGGAGGAAGACTTCATTCCCTTTGCAGTATTAAATATGATGATGGGAGGCGGTGGCTCCTTTTCAGCTGGCGGGCCTGGCAAAGGCATGTTCACTCGGCTGTACCTCAATGTGCTCAACAGGTTTGTTTGTCTTCTCGATTAATGAATAGCAGAAACTGTCTTCTCTAGCAGATTGACGTGGAAGGCCTCATCTTGGGAAAGACAGTTTTACATCAGTTTATTCTGCTTGAAACATGCAGGGCTGATTTTTTTTAGAAGGTATTCTGACAAGGGGAAATAAAGGGCAAAAGTAACTAGGAGTCCTATATTCCTCTGTTAGCCCAACCCATCCTTTCAACCAGGGAATATTAAAATAATTGGCTCTAGGTACCAGTAGTACTGCTGTATCCTTCACTTTTTGGTCTCAAGGATGCTGATGGCAAGAAGGAAGGAGATAGCACACACGCAGAAATTGTCAGAGGCAGGGACTGACTTCCTACTAGCACTGCTGAGAATTCTGAAAATGAGCTAGGAGGGGACTCACTGTCTGTGTGTGCCTAACTTTGACATTTAAGTTCTGTTTTCTAAACTTCAAAATTTTGTTTGCACGCTTGTAGGCACCACTGGATGTATAATGCAACTTCTTACCACCACAGTTACGAGGATACAGGTCTCCTGTGTATACATGCCAGCGCTGATCCAAAACAGGTATTCAAAACCAGGTATCCTTAGAAAGTGATCGCGTCGCTTATTACCAAACAGTGATGTGAGAACTTTTGTACTTAAAGCTAAACACTGCAAAACTATTGGAATGTAACATCATATTTTCCTGAAATTGAGCTAGATGTTGAGCATGTTACGCTATTTTAATAGAGTAATTAATCATTGTTCTAACCTGTTCAAATACCTGTTTTTCTTAGGTTCGAGAGATGGTGGAAATTATCACGAGAGAATTCATCCTGATGGCAGGAGCAGTCGGAGAGGTCAGCAGCCTGACTTACAGACTACATAGGCAGTCTTTGAGCTGAAATAGTGCATTGTGTTGGCTTTGGCTGGGATGATTTTTCTGTAGATCAGCTACTTCATGTATTACTTTAAAAGAACATAGAAAATTTAGCAGAACATTCACAAAGAATTCTGCAAGCACCTTCCTCTTAGGTGCTCTGTAGCTCTTCACAGCATTATTTTTTAGGGCAAGGGAAAGGCCTTTTGCTCATTCTTAATGCCAAGAGTCTACCTGTTAACCAGTCAGCTGCCTTCTGTTTTTCCTTTCCTGAGGCAGCTTGTCTAAGAGAAAGCCCAGCTCCTTCATGGACCAGAACGTGGCACTAATACAGCCATCGCCGTGTTTTTCAGAAACTGATGGTAGCTTGTATTAGAGAACAGTGGCCAGTCTTTGAACTCATTTGTATTTGCTGCTCATTCACAGGTAGAACTTGAGCGAGCAAAGACGCAGCTGAAGTCCATGCTCATGATGAACCTCGAGTCTAGGCCTGTTATCTTTGAAGATGTGGGACGCCAAGTGTTGGCCACAAACACAAGGAAACTACCTCACGAGCTCTGTGCCCTGATCAGTGAGTAAACTGTTTTTCCTTGCCTGGATTGAATTGTAGGTACAATCTGGGGGTGGCAACTTAAAATACATTCCTGTAGCAGTGGTGAATCACCTGAGAAAACATGGGGGCGTAAAGACTGGATACATATTTCAAACTGATCTTCTCAGTTGCTTGCAAGCAATACCATACTTTATTTTTTTTCTGTCAGAAGAAAGGAAAAAGCTAAGTATGATAGAGAAGGTCCAGAGCTAGTGATTTGGCCTGAGCTAGGGGGCTGACCCAGCATCATAGTAAAGCTGCTTCGTGCTATTTAACATGTAGTTGTCACAGCTCTGGCTTTCTTTTTTTTCTGCAGGTCAGGTGAAATCTGCTGACATCAAAAGAGTGGTCACTAAGATGCTTCATAAAAAACCAGCTGTGGCTGCACTGGGTGACTTAACAGGATCTGCCCACGTATGAACACATCCAAGCAGCACTTTCCAGTAAGGATGGGCGACTTCCTCGGATGTACCGGCTCTTTCGATAAAGCAGCGCATCCTGCATGTATCTGAGAGACTTGCTTTTTTTTTTTTTTTTTTTTTTTAATTTTTTTTGATTTATAATACTGCTGTGACTCCACTCCTTCCCCAGTCTTTCCAGGCATACTGTGCAAACATGGAGCTATGCTACAGCTGAGCAAAGCTGCTTCAGAACACTGGTCTGTGAAGGGCTCGTTACGTTGGGCTTCTCAGCCCATTCTGGCTTTGGATGAGCCAGAGGAAGGCTGCTGTTAAAAGGCTTGGACTCACATACCTGAATTCAGAGACAATTTACAGCTGTTACAGAGGGGAACAAGTATTTGGTCAAAGTGAGTTAGGAAAATAGTTGTTATCCATCTGAAATCAGGCAACAAGTTTCCCGCAGTCCAGGTTCTGTTACAAACATCATGGATCAGTTCTGTGTAATTTACCCTCTGGAATACTCTAAGACATCGTATGTCTGGGAATAACTTAACTTTGCTAGAACTCAGAGGAAAGTAGACCTATAGCATAACTTCCTGGGGAGTTCATAGATGGAGGTACTATACATAATGCTACAGTGGACACTCACTCTAGCCTGAAAGTAATTTTCTTGTTACTTGAAAGTGAATTATGCAAAAGAGTAGAAGGTTTTTTATGCCTGAATTGTTATTCAAAGGAGTCGCTGCTGCTGCACCTTAAACTTGTACCCTACTTTTCTTCAAATTGTTATACGATTAACTTAAGGTCTTGCAGAAAGACAGATCTTTCAGTTTTAACAGCAGCAATGGAGCCCAGCTAGCTAGCAGTTAAGATCAACAATGTTGAGGAAGCTTGTGATACCAAAAGTGACTGCCATGGGACTGCCATCATGTTACGTAAAGAGAGGACAAATATTTGCCACTTAATTTCAAACTGAAGCATGGAGACCCAGAAGAGAGAAGATAAAACGTTTTGATTTACATAATCCCTTAATACAGGGGCTTAAAAATGTAGGCAGCTGCATTGCAGCATTTCACGGACTTGGTGTGTCTTGTAAGGAACAATGAAATTGGGAGCAGAACACTATGAGGCAGCTATGGTCTGCTTTATCACCGTACCTTTCTTTATGCAATTGGAAGAAAAGGTGTTGCTTCTTACAGAACCCACAGTATGGAAGTCTCATTCAGTTGTTGTGTATGTTTTTAAAGAAAATAAAGAGCCCTTGAAGTCACTGGAGTAAGTAGCCAGAGTTCTGAAATTCATCAGTGAAGGGTGAGGTTTCTTGAACTGGCAGGTGAAATGCCCTCCGTTGGTACTTGGGTTGAGCAAAACCAACCCCTCTCTTCCAGCCAAAGGAAAATGCCCTAAGGTCCCCCAAAGCGTTAGCACGCATCAGAGTCACAATGCCCTGCAATAAGACCTGGCTCTCATTGAAGGTACCATAGTAATTTATTTATATTCCTTTAAAAAAGAAAGGAAATCCAAATCTCTGATGGCTACAGACAAGTCAGTGCCATAAATGTTTGTACCGCAGAACAGAAGCTCTGTCTTGGACAGGTTGCATAGTTAGCAGCACTTCCTCCCAATTGTTTGCATGGTGTTATGTACCGAGGTGATTATGATCCAGCCAATCTGTACCTATAAAGACTTTAAGAATTAGCTGTACTTACATTTTACCAGTGCCACACTGGTCCATGGGGTATCTTTAGCCTTTAAACAACACTACTTGGAAAAGAGCAAGTTATTCACAGTTCACTGAATGGGGACAAATAAAGGAAATGTAACTCATCAGAGGTAACAAATTGCACTGATTTCACTTGCTGCAGTTTCTCTGCATCCATCCTTGGTACTCAGTTAACATCTCGAACCATTTTGGTGGAGCATTATGCAGTAGCTGTATTTAAACCCTTGTTTTTACTTCAAGCATCCTGCTGCTGAAGGCAGGTAGTGTTTTATCACCCCTGCGGAGGGGAAACTATTTAAAGACAGGATTGCCTCAAGCAATCTCAACAGCCAAAGATAGGGTGCAAGAGATTGATATTTACCCTCCCTCCCCAACAGAAGGCCTATGGAATAATTATTAAAAAAGGCAAATGTTTACACACCTTGAACGTACAGTGGTACATTCACACAGATCTTGCTGTAGAGGACCAAAAAGCCCTGCACAGGAGCACCATCCTGACACAAAATGGCCCAAGTCCCCTGACTGGTCCCCATTACGCATTGACAGAATACTGCACATTTGGCTACAGATAAGGAAAAAAAGAACAACCCCACAACCTGTGTGGGCTTACCAGACCAAATCAAACAGACAAAACAAAACGTTTGCCTTTCTGCGGGTTTTTCTTAGGTCCCCTGCCCCCAGTCATGCCAATTCCAAGAGCTGTACATCCTGTGTGGAGTTACCTTAGAACCAAGAGACTGCATCTGGTTGCTTCCAAAGACAGCATGGTTAAAAATAAATCAGTTGCATCTGTTGGAATGGATGTCCTAAATAACTGACTCCATTTTCTTCAGCAAAAGCACTTGAGCTATATGGATTAGCTCATGCAAATGAATCCAGGATGAGATTTAAGACTTTCTCCACAAGCCACAGCAACTGCCAGAGGTGCTTAGGCAGACAATTCCCTGCAGATTTTGCCGTGGCCTGAAATCTTCTTTCCGGGTACCTCTAACACAAGCGTCGCAGTTTTCAGCTCAGGAAATGCTACATATGCTGCTGGATTTTTGGTCCTTTTGCACTCGTCGATTCTGAACGTCCCTTGTAATCCGCCTCTTGATTCCGATTAAGTAGAGCTCTCTGTCAAACTGCCCTGCAGCAAGTGGAATACTACAGTATTCCAGAACATAAACACAAGCAATTAGAAAAGGCACAAATACATCCCCGTTTGCCCAACACTGTTCAACTAGTTCATACAACAAAGTCCAGATTTTTTTTTTTTATTATTATTATTTTATTTTTACCTTTTTGAGGTATTCAGATATTCAGATATTGCTGCTGTGGGAGAAAATAAATGAAACAAAGTTCTTCACTATAAATTTAATTGAAGAACATATTGGTCATAGAAGGCAAATGTACTTTCAACTTAAGCATGAAAATGCCTGCATTCATAAGAGATATAGATAGAGGGCATTGTTTATGTCTCTAAAACAAAACCAATACTTGGTCCAAAGCTAAACTAGCTTATTGTAAACCTGGTGCCCTCACTCGTATGGTTCCTGTACAACACCAGCTCTGTTCTGCACAGGCCAGACGGAAATCCAAGCAGCCCACCCTCTGCAATACTTACAGATATTTCATATCCGTAAACAAACAAAAAATCCAATTCTAATTACACTGCTGATCAAGTGCTCTGAGAATCCATGATTTTCTAGATACTCGGCTTTTGAAATTCTTGAGCGTGCTACTCACAAAAAGTGGCAAACTAAATTTCAGTGACTTCACTAAATTTTCTAAGTTCTACTAGCACAGCAGCCAACAGTGGAATATGAATTAAAACAGAGGATCTCAAAATTCTCCACTGGCACATAGGTATGTTGAAATGCAACCACCACTGGGGAGTGCAAACAGCACTGACCCCAAAAAGGGAAAGAGGAATAGAAGATGAAAGTTATCCATGCTAATAGGAAAAGCAGAGAGCTGCATCTCAGATAAAACGCAGAGTCACAGTCAATTGCAGTAGATTCCAATTATCTCCCTCAGGAGAATTAAGGGACCTGGCAGCAAGGATTTCTGATGTCAGGACAAGGCTTAAGCACTATTACTGCTCTGAGCACTGACACTGTGTTGGGTAAAAAAACCAAACATGCTACAGGGAGCTGCAGGGGATTAACTCTATTTCAGGAAGAACACCGAATCCCTGAAAGTCCCTGAGGGGACAAACTCTGAAAAGCAGCATGTCTTCGGGTCACTGCAGTCATGTGCAAAGAACAGCATAAGCAGGTACTTACTTGTCTCTGCCAGGCCTCACTTTCACACGGAACAACGCAAACACAGGCCGATGGTCCGAAGTTTTGATCACAGGACACGATGAGTACTTGACAGCATGGATGTCATCTCTGTACCGACTGCGGAACACTACTCGATCCTGGGGGACAGAAAAGAGAGAAGAAACTGATGGTAACTCCCTTTGCACATCTGTGCTGAAGAGAAGCACTGGTTCAAAAATGCCAGCATGGCCGCATGTCCTGCAGACCAACTGCTGCAGGGAACATATCCAAGGCAGCTTTTTACTGCATGTGAGAATCCCCTCTGGAGGCAGGTAAGAGCCTGAGCAGCCCCTCCAAGCACACTGCTCCCAAATCATCTCTTACTGTGTAGGAAGGAGTCCGTTGTTTGGAGGTGGTGTCATAGCTGTCTTTTCCTATGTCAAACTTGTAGGAAGGACGGAAACGAATGTCAGCCTCTTGGAATCCTTTGAAAATAGACCCTGTATGGGAGGGGGAGAACAGCATGAACAAGAAAACTCCTTCCATCAACCTGGCACACTTTCTGCACTTCTTTGACACTGTTGAACTAATGCTGGCTGGCAACTGCAGGCATGTACATTCGTGACTATAGAAACCTGGGCCTGGGCTCTGGAAAGGTAGGAGGTTCCAAGTTCTTACACAGTGAGAATGAAGAGCTAGTCTGTTGCTATTTAAACAAACAACACTTGGTGTATGCACTTCCCCTTCCCCTGAAAGCTCCCAATGCTTTGCATATGCTGCCTTTTCAAATCTAAACGCCCTAGGTGCTGTGAGAGAATGAAGTCCAGCTTACAAGGGCATCAGGATAAAACAAAGCAATAAATAGCCCAGGAGATTACACAAGGTACACAGCAAAATGCAGAATTCCCTTTAATAGACTGCCACTGGATTCGACAGCATTTGAGTTCTCTTTTTAGAGATCTTAACATAAAGCAGTGAAGGTCTTTAGGAAACAGGAACCTGGCTGTAACTATTTCTGTGTGTAGGAATCTTTGTTCCTGGAGACTGGGGAGAAAAACAGTTGTTGCTCACCTCTACTCATTTCACTGGTAAGCTGGTCATATGCCAAGAGTTTGGACACGCCTGTTTCTGGGTTCTGGTTCAAGATGGAATCCACAGTTTCACGATCCTTATTTAGTCGGAAATTGAAGTCTCCAAACCAGAACACTTCATCAAACCGAGTTGTGACATCACCTGCAAGTTCAAGGCAGAAGCATCAGCATAAAGGTGAACACTCTGAAAAGTTCCAAAACCAGAAAAAAACAAACACCATCCTCACACAAAAAGACGTGGTCTTCTGTTTTATCTACTGCCTCAAAGAAGCAGTCCCATTCTCTCTTCCTTCATGCACTCTTTCACTCTACACTAACTGTGTTCATTTGGGCTCATAACACCAGAATGTTTTCACACTTACTAGAGCTGGATCGATACGGATTTGTGTCCGGAACATTCTTGGGAAGTGTAAGTGCTTGAATGGTTTTATTGTAGTCCAGCTTCCTCTCATTCACCTTACTGTCTCCAGCTGAAAAACCAAAAGCCCACTACTGGCAACGATGCATCGTTTTCATTTAATTACCATATCTGATTACAACAGCAGCATCTTTCGATGGAGATCAGACATGTTCCACACGTTAAATGGAACACTGACCCAGGGAGCACACAGACTTAAAAAATAACAGCAGAAAGTGTGGAAAAAGGAATACAAATTAATAGAGTTCATTTTTGTTTTTCTCAATAGTTCCTTTTCAAGTTTGCTACCAAAAAATCTCCCATACCTTACTGTTTTCTCAGCAGCCCCAAGCTTTAACTTGGTCTGTCTGGTTCCTGTATCCCCCTGCAGCTTTTTTACTTTTGTATATCAACCTCCCTCCACCCTCAGTCAGGACACTTCTACCAAGACTGTAAGCATCTCACATGTGAAGTGGGAGGTAATGAAGAGAAAGGAGGTCCCAAAGAACGTGAAGCAGATTCCCAGAGCTCCCTTGGTTTTGATCTGAGACACAATTCGAGTTGTCACTGTGGCATATTCCACTTCTGGAAGGAGAAAGAGAAACTGCTGTTAGAGAGAAGCCTCCAAAGACGGTGAACAGGAAAGTCAGGAGGGGGACAGCCCTGAAGAAAAGGCCAAGACACCTGATGGCAGCAGTCCTTTCACCTCCCTATTCTCCAGCTCACACTGGACCACACACCTGAGCAGAACCAGATCAGGTCCCTTCGAATGAAGACCGACATGTAGAGCACTCCGTGCGCAGCAGAGTAGAGCATGACATAGTGGGGGCCCAGTGTCTCTTGCAGGCGGATCTCCCACTCTCTTCTGCAGGAAAGAACAACAGCTGGATCACAAGGACAGCACGAGAGACAATAACCAGGAAAGAAAATCAGCATTTTGAGAACAATGTAATCCCTCTCATGAAGAAAGGCAAGCAAGCATAAGCAAAACCTCCCCTGCCAAAGTAACACTGCTGGTCAGCCCGATTTGTAACCACGTATGCCATGTGGCAGGGTCTGCGTGTTGGTGAGTTGGCGCTTCCAAATCTGAGGAAAAGCAAGTCCCACTGGAAAGATCCTAAAAAAGCAGGGTCTGACACGAGGCTTCAACCTGCTTTTGTAGGGCTTGTCAATCTCAGACAGTCTAGAAAATTTGGAGCAATGTACTAGTAATTAGTACAAGGTTGCTAACACTTAAAGTCAGCCAGTGAGCTGGGTTACAGCTGGCTCAGAAGCCCACTGAACAGGAGTTTTTCTATTTGCTGCTCTGGAAACAGGGCCAAGTTCTATATTTACAGATTTTGTGCCATTTTCCTCTAAAACCCATTTTCCCTGGTACTCATGCAACAAAGTTCACAGATTAAATGGGTGGTTTATGGAGAATATGATTGAGATATTTCCAGAATCATTCAAAACAAAGTTACTAGCTAACAGAAAAAGGGATGGTTCATTACATTGTTTTTGCTACCTGTCTGGACAGCCTTCCTGAACTCCGATGACATACATGTCCTGGGCATAGTCAGGATCTGTTGGTAACAAGAAGTCATCCAGATTCACTGGAAGTTCCTGTTATTAAAAACAAATAATAATAATAAAAAGCAAAGATTTATGACAAAAGTAGACAGAGAGCCCAGGCAAAGCTACAGATTCCACAGTATATGCAAACAACTTGGGCTTCAAAAATAGATTAAGTGCTAATACTGAGAATATTCCTTCCCAGAGGCAGACTTCAACTGCTGCCAGTCCAGCAGTAACCAACACTCCACAGCTCAGCCACGTGGTCTGATACTGTGACATCTTTAATTTCCTGTAATGCGTTTTTTTTTTTTACCAAGTTCATGGGCTGTTCATTGAACACCACAAGCGGTTGCTTGTGTTCTTCCAAGCACAGCATCTCAATCAATGGGTTGAATCAATCCTGAGTTCCTGTGCTACGTAAAGATGTAAGCAGGAGGCCACGCTCTTTTTCAGATATGTTCTCTTTGTAAGTACTAAATAATCAGCTATTTTCACACGACCCTAATTGCAACAGAGCATAATGGAGCTGCCACAAAATGCCAGAGGAGCACTAGGAAGCTCGCTGTTTTCATACCCAATATCTGAGGAACCCTACTCCAATGACTCACCAAGGTGAACATGAGAGGGTAAAGACACTGAACTCTGGTTGATTAGGAACACCATCATGAATAGAAAAAAGTATCATACCAGCCCTTGTAATAAATATGGGGTAACTCTACCACTGCCAGAACTCTAGAGGACTGATGTGCACATACCTTCTGACCTTGCATGTTCCAGGTAGCCACAAAAATTCCAATATTCCGATCAGGGAAATATCTGCTAAGCTCTTCTGCTCCCAGTAAGGCACCGTTTGCCAGAAGGCTGCCTTCCAAATAGCTTCTGCAAACAGAAGACCCATTAAAAAGCATCTCAGAAAATGGCATGGCAGCTGGAATGATGATTTGTAACACTTGAATCTCAAGCATATACATTTAGCTCAAGAAAACAGAGTTTAGTCTTTATATACTGTTCTGTTTGCTTAAAGTTCATTAGAACATTTGCAGTTTTCAGAAACCCATAGTTTAGTGTAATTGACTTTGCAGGGAAATGCAAGAGAGCCCGAGCCCTGGTTATTCCCTTGGCACAGAGTAAGACCAAAAGCAGATGCAACATGCCTCCAGGTTACCAGTGCAGAGGGCACTTCAGCCACGTGCCAAGCCTTACGCTCTGCTCACATCTCAGTACTCATCAACAAGAGACAACCCTTACAGGGAGCTCGTGGATCATGCACAAGAGAGCAAAATTGTCATAAACCAGCCAGGACACAAGCACGATGGTGAGACTGACGGTGCATGGGTTTTGTGATCAAAGACTTATGCTTCCCAACCCTTCTTCCCCCTTCATATGTGATTTATTGAGTCTGAGGTCACATTCCACACAGACAGCTCTGCCTCACACTGCCTGCCTCTCCAGACACCACGCTGCTCACAAAAGCAAGGGGTATTGGCAAAAGGAGAGCAGGTTAAATAAGCATTTTTAATCTTCCTTAAGCTCCATGAGTAACGATGACAGCATGGTGTTAGGCAGTGCTGCACAACCCACTGGCCTGCACAGCTCCTCACCTGATGCCGACAGCTTTTCAGAAGGAAGTGCAAGAAAACCCCGGACAAACACATAGCAATCTGAGTGGAATCACATTTTTCCTCAAGAAATTCCTGGAAAACCTGGGGCAGAGGAGCTCCTGAGATACACCAAAATGGTTTATAGTGGATAATTTATTCTTGCTAGAAGCCAAATCTCAACACCTGCAGAGGACGGTCACCTTACAGGACGGTGGCAGGCACGTGTGGGCAACTACCACTGATAGTTTCAAACTAAAATATTTGTGTGGGGGGATTTTTTTTAATGCCTAAATTAAAATTTAATTCATTTTCAGTTCAAACCCAAGGTATTTTTTGTAGATTACAAAATATATATATATATATTCCCAAGTGTTGGCGTGCACAGCTACTGCTCCCTACCTTTCAAAACAGCTTAAATACTACAAGGAAGCTGACAGCAAATCTTACTTTCGCTTATAAAAAACAATACACAGCCCCAAGGAGAGAATATACAGTATCTGAACTGATCTTTTCATCTTCGAACTGTTGCCACTCACCAAAGCAAGTTAATGAACCCAGAACTCCTATGATTTACCCATCAGTCCGACATTCCCTGCCCCTGAGCAGCAGGATTCTGCGTGGCTGCTGGTACCTACCCACAAACAGCAAGCTTTGCCACGGGAAGCTGGGCGACGTACCTGCTCCGGACATCCTTGGAACGAATGGGGGTGAGCAGGCTGAACGTGGATTTCATGGAGTCTGTGGAGCAATTATCGTAGACCATCCCATTGCCGTGTAGCCTGGTATCGCTCAAGCTGCTGCTCACCCTCCCAAACTTGTGCTGAGAATAATGGCGATAATCCATAAAATCTGAGTCAATCCTATTAGCTGTCCTCAGCGTGTGAGAGGCCACGTTGAGCTCCATGGGTGGCAGAGGTCGAGCCGGCATTATTTGGGACAGCCGGGGTTTGCTGCCTGCAAACGCTTTCCCGCGCAGAAGCCCACCAAAGGCACTGGAGATCTCGGAGGCTCTTTTCCCCAGGTCCGAAGTGCTTCCTCTGCTTTTCCCCATGGGACTGGCTTCTGAGGCATCTGGTGAACTGTGCAAGGAATTCGGCTCGCAACACTGACTGCAGGGGGTTGCTCTGCCCCTGACGGGAGGGCTGAGGGACGCTTCCTGCAGAGAACCGTTTGAGGAGCTCGTCTCATTGGGATCTGTCAGACTTTCCTGACTAGTTCTAAACCTCCTCCACCTCCTCCAGTTTTTCTCATCCAGAGACGCCGCACGCTCCAGTCGGGGTTTCCTAGGAGGCCTTGGGGTGACTGATTTAATTTTCATATTAGCTTTGAGTTCATCCGGTAGAAGCTTTATGGTTTCATTTAAAGAGGTGTCTACACGTCGAGGATCTTCAAAGGTAAGCACGCCATTGCCACTGGCCTCCTTCTTCGCCGCTTTGCCAGCTTTTTTAGCCTGCAGGTCCTGTACTGCTCCACCTCCGGTGCTCTGAGTAACACATGCCCCTGAGTGCTGGGAAAATCCATTTAGAGCACTCATTCTCCTCCTGCGTGCCAGCTACGGACGCTGCTCCATAGGTAGGGTAACTCACAGCATGCCTCCCTTTCCTCTTGCTTAATCTGTAGGTTCACAGCACTTTAACCGAGCCAGGAAGGCATGGGGTTTGAAGACAGTTTGGTCTTTAGCTGAGAACGAAGGGAAGGCGTACGTGCAGGCAGATGCATCGTCTGCAAAATGTCAAGAGGCGGAATACCTGAATTTTTCCAAGAGAAACGGGTAAGAATACAGATTTACTGAGATGCAAACAGCGGTCCGTAATCATGAACCAAGCTCCCAACAGGACTCCATTCTAGAATGTTTCAATCCTTGTGACAGCCTTGTTAGGAAACCAATGGTATTGTCGTTTCTACACGAGCAGAACAATGAACTAACTTCCCGGGTGACGCAGGCATCACAGCTACAAACACATTTCTTTAAGAAGAGGCTGTGTAAAGCGTCAGCGTGAAAGCAACTTAGAAATTCCCTTAAAACCCTGTGTTGCTGTTTTTACGCTCAGGACGGCCCCGCTGTGCAGTGAGTCAGGGCACAAGCAGCCTCCAGGCTGCCCCCAGCCAGGAAATTTCCAGCCTCCACCTCAGCCTCCGCACAGGGACACCGCTGCCACCTCCCCCGATTTCACCCCAAACCTTGCTGTTAACACCCTGAAGCTACCTCCCTGGCAGCTCGAGGGCTGCAGCAGCAGGGTGGAAGGCAGGCAGGCAGGCCGGCTCCTCGGCGTTACACCCCCCGAGCATCGCACCTGAGGAGCCCCACAACCCACCCACCCCAAGGCGCGACCCCTCTGAAGCGCCCAGCGCGGTTTTCTTATATCGCGTCAGGCTCCCAGCGCCTTGCAGGGACCTCGGGGGGGGGCTCTGCCGGCTCCTCTCCGCTCCCCCGGCACCCGAGCTCACCGCTGAGGGGTCCCCGCCGCCGCCGTCGCCTCACGGGGCCGGGCGCCCCCCGCCTGCCGCCGGCCCGGGCCCCGCCAGCTCCGCCCCGGCTGCTCCAGGCCCGGCCGCAGCAACCGCGGCTCCGGGAGCGCCCCCTGGAGGCCGGAGGAGCGCCCCGCCAGGGCCCGGCCCTGAGGCAAAAAGCGGCCCCGGGGGCTCGCTAACCTCAAGACCAAGCCTTTTTCGCTTAAAAATTAAAAATTAAAAGCTCCTCTTAGCCTACTTCTTCGGTTTGTAACATTTCAACGTTTATAAAGCGCAAACTGCTTCCCGTGCGGTCTCCGCACCTCGCTTTAAGCAGGGCTTTTAGCCCTTTCCGCGCACTCAGGAGACACACGGAGCTTCCCTCGACTTGCCCCAGCAATAAACCACAAGAAGTAGTAAAATGTGAAAGTGCTCCAGAGCGCAAAATATTTTATTTAAGAATTTACAGTGTCAAATCTTACACTTAGGAAAGACAGCCGCTCCCAGCTCAGAGGAAGCCTTCTTGAATTAAAGATGTTTGGCAGTCTCTACTGAAAGGAGAAAATAATCAGCGGCCTGGCTGAACTAGAGGAAGCCAAGTGTCTGACTAGGTTTCAGTCACAGAAGAGGAACCCCACGCTGCTGCTCACCGTGCCTGGAATTGAGTACGGACCATCGAGTACGGACCACTACGCCAAGGTTTCCGATTCCCCCAAACAGCATTATGCTTCAGCTACACACAACCCCTTTTAGAATAAAACGTAAGGCTATCGAGATCTCAGGAAGGTGACATTATTCAGGAGAAGAAAAACTACCAGGGACCAACACCAGCAATTTCACATTCACGTTATTTCTACTCATGAGCAGAAATTCAAGTAAAATCAAATAGTGTGGTGGCAAATTCTAAATAAAATATGGCCTAACAATTTAATAAATATTTAAAGTTTATTTCCCTCTTTGCAGATGATTCAGATTCTTCAGTCAATATGAACATTGCATATCATGGTTTTCAAGATTTCCTATATTAATCCTATAGATTTCAACGTCCATCGGTAGAGGTCTAATCCATCTACATTTAGTACGTTTGAAATTCAGCTGTTAGCTATTTAAGACCTTGGTTATTTTAGTAATGGAAATTCAAGAACAGTATTATGCTGATTCTGGCACTCGAGAGGAAAAGACAACTTTCAAGCTGTTACCACCTTAATTACACAGTGCCAGCAGTTTGAGAGAAAGCAAGTAACCGTATTGCACTTAAAAGAACACTCACTCATCAAATAGTACAGCATCAGCTATTATACAGAGAGCTTCTTTCAGACTATACAATTTGCTTTACAAGTAGTCTAAACCACAAACTACATACATACTAGATAAGATCCAAATCAAATTAGTATTAGATTACAGTCACAGTTTTCATTCGATATGGGTCAATTTATTTGGATGAGCTGTGGCCCCCTCCCCCCTTCAAAAAACAAACTAGCACGAGGCATTTCCCAGATGAACATCTTGAATTTCATACATTGACAAACCAAGTCCTGTTTTATAAGCATTACAATTGTGCATGGTCCTCTTAAGGCCACAGAGTGTTATGTTACAATGTGGACATGTTTTTCCCCCCACAATGGGACAGGAGCATCCTTCAGAAATTAAGGAATCCCTGAAACTATGCCTTAAAGTCACACTAGTAGGTTTAAAATTATTTTAAGGAATAAATTGCCTATGCAATTTATGAATAATTTTTGTAACAGACAGCAACTATTTCCTCCCTTGTGTCTATTCTTTATCACAGCAAAGCTATTTCTAGCCAGTTCTTTAAAAGGAAAAGTTACATATATTTCATGTTTGGTAATGATTTATGTAGATGAAGTGCAAGTAGGGAGACCCATGAAAAAAATCACCCATCATTAAATTACTGTCCTGTCAACTGCAGCTAGTTCTGATACCATGTGCCATCAGATTGAATAGTTCTTCATATATTCAGAACATGAATGAGAATTCCAAGCAGAGCCACTGTATTCTACTTCAGCGTTGGATACTTCCTCTGTCCTATTCTTCCTGGCCTTGAACTTCCAGTGACTGCAGGAGACTGAAAAAGAGTAACAGGAATAAACAAAAAAACGTTCTGTAGAAGTGCCATCCTGGAGACAAAATACAAGAAGTTGTCAGTAAAGTCTTGATCCCAATGTTGTTAGCTTAAAGGAGTTAGATTGGTCCATGTGCATGTTTAACACCCTACATGCAATAGTCTGGATTAAACTAGTAAACCAAAATCAAAACATATAAAAAATGAAGAGGGTCGACATTCCATCAGACGGTTTTGAATATCAAAGCTAAATCACGTATCAAGAGGTCTGCTGAAGCACCAAATCTCACGATAGTACACTTTTATATCGTTCTCATCTGTATGGTTTCAACAAGGCAGGAGATACTCATCCTGCAGTACTGAGAGCCTGGTTCCATGTACACACACCTCTCCATAAAGTTGCCTGGCCTACAGTGAGACTGCCTCTTTTGTTACAGTACTTTTTAACCCTTCATACTTGGTTTGAAAACAGATGAAAAAATACAGTGACATTCTAGAATGGGCAGCTACTCATTCCATTATTTTATCTTGCAAAATTCTTAAATGCTACAAAGGCAGAGAAAAGAGCAGAAGGACACGCCGTGACAGACTGGATTCTCTCACCATAAGGATCACCTGGGGATGGGGGAAGGAACAAAACTACATGGTAAAAATCTCCAGGAAGAAAAAGACAAAATTTGTACTGATATTTAAGGCCACACCGAGTTACTTATTAAAGGTAGATGTGGACTCAGCTCACTTAAAACAAGATTGTTCAGCATGACTGATTTACTCAAGCAACATTTAATTACTTGTTTGAACTCTCAGGGCTAACAAGTCTCTATCTTTTTGTTCAATAGTTTAGTTCAAAGTAACAACAAGGCCTTTACTCACTTGTGCAAATTGAGAAGGATTGTAGAACTGTACTGTTCCTGCTGAAGGTCCCCCCGAAGGTGGTACAGCGGCGGGCTAGAAAGTAGATTATACGGAAGTTACGGAACTGCAGAGCTTCACTGCCTCTCAGACTTGATTTGCTTAGTCATACAGAGAAAATATTCACAGTAATAATGCCAACAATATGGACAGAGCAGCATATTGTAACAACTGCAAAAAGTGCTGGTACAGTTTGCATCCATTTCTTTAATATTATTTGCTTAATGTAGGAATTGGCAAAACGATGTCACATGCATAAACTGTAAATAGCTCTGAAAATCCAAAGCATGCAAAACCAAAACAAGACGTTGGTGCGACTTCACTGCATTAGTACCTTCTGTTTTTGTTAGTAGACCTCAGGACTTGCCCAAAAATAAACATTCTATGTCAAGTTTTGCTTTACTAAAAACTACCAGAAAGAGTTTGTGTCACTCCTTTACGGTGACCCCAGAGTACTCCCAGAACAGCAGAGATGAAGCATTCCTTTAATTCCTACAGGGGCTTTTGCAGATGAAACAGGCAATGGTATTATTACCAACTTGAGATTGGCAGCAGCAGAATGACAAGGTTTAGTTTCATTGGGTCATTTGGGGAAGTGGTAGGTTGATTTTTCTTTGTTTGGAGGTTTTTTGTTTGCTGTTTTTTTTTACATCAATTGACAAGTTTGGTAACCCAGGAAAGAGCTAATCAAAATTACTAAGTAAATCTCTTAGGAACATGAACATAAACAAAAAGCATGCCTGGATTACATGCATTCTCATAAACACAAAAGTCTGAAGACCCTGTTCGAGTGTTAAAAGGAACACTGCATCATTAGTCACTTTGAAGGTTATTTCTGTGAAATGAGAAGGGAAAATGACTAAAAGTAGCATTAGTATTTAAGCAAATGCAAAATAAAGAGTGAAAAAGTAAACACGTTAACATAAATGAGAATGGCCAGCCACATGTACCTGATTAAAATGCTGGCTTACTTCACGTGATAATGAACTCATTGAACTAGAGCGCGAAAGCTACAAAACAGCAAGAACACACAAATACAAAAAAACACAAATAAAAAAGTCGTCATGCATGTCACTGCCCCAAGCTTTCAGTTGTTTTATTTAATTATAAAAGTCTCACTCTGCCAAAGGTTAAACCAACTTCAAGTTAAAAAAAAATGTAAAGCCAGAAGTTAGTTTAAATCAAAAGGACTTCTTAAAGCACAAAATTATGTAGATACAGAAAACATTTAGTAGGAATAAAGGTAATGTTACTCTGCCTGGCACACAGCAATCTATTCTCCTCTTTGTGTCTCACATTTAATATTAGTGAAATTATATGCATGCACAGAGGCAAGAAGAGATCCTTAAACTGCTATTGACATTTTACTCTGAAAAGGCTTTTATAAGTTTACATATATCGAACAAGCAGATCACACCACAGAAAGTAGGACTCTGAACTTCTCATACGGACTTAGAGGTCTCTTCTGTACAGTTTTGGAGGCAGTCGTGTGACACCATCTTGCCTGGTCACAAGCATCTGCATCCATCACAGAATTATAGAAAAACCCAGGTTGGAAGAGACCTCAAAAAGATCATCTAGTCCCACCTTTGGTAGGAAAAGCGAGACCAGATGAGATTACCTAGCATCCTATCCAACTGCATCTTGAATCAGTTACTTGCCACTTAGATGGCCCATGTTAAGAGCACTACAAAATAATGGTTAAAATACGCTTCACGAGTCATTAACTAACCACTTTGAACCAAGTTTGAAGTCTTACCTCTCCTGATTGGAAGCCATCAGGGTTGGAAACAGGAAGCCCAGATCCAGGTGGAAGGATTGGAGGGTTTAAATACTAAAGAAAAACAATGCACTCTTTTTTAAATCTTAATTACTGTAACTCACTACAGTGTTATTTCACCTTTCTGCTATATTAATCCCATTGTAGCAAACAACATTGCAATACATGAAGTCAGATGAAAACACACCACGTATGGCTACTTCCTATGCTCTTGGTCCATTTTCTAACACATACTGCACACACAAAATGTGCAGTCCTGCCAAGTTGGGAAGTACAACTTTTCATGGGCTTCCTACTTCCATTTTCACTTGTATTTCCATTCTCCAGTTCTTAAACTAAAACATAGGGATTATGTTTGTGTAATAACAACAATATGCTTTGTACATCCTGCAGCTATGATGCTACTGTTGAGAATCTTAAATCATTTTTATGAGAAGTTTGAACAATATATACAAGACATTCTTCTTAACATACCTCTGGATCAGCAGCTGCAGCAGGTTCTGTGTTGGTTTGGTTTGCAGCTGGAGTGTGCTCTGCTGCACCACTCCCTTCCATCGGCTGGGGTTCACCTGGAACTACAAAGGAAATGGGATTTAGTCAGACACACCAGATCAGGGGGTTTGACTTCAAAGAATAAGAAGCAGGGTCATAAGCAGAACTGATTTTGTACAATACCAGTATTCTTCCAGGGAATAAAAAAAAAAAAAGAAAGGCAATTTAAAGAGTGCAGTATCGGTATCTACAGGTGTCTCAGTATTGTTTGCAAGTTTGCAATCAGGAGATGCATACAGTTTATACAGATCAATTTGGTGCAGGGCAACACGTAGTAAAAATGTATCAATTTTTAAGAAATCAGCCCCCCAAAATCAAAAAAAGACAAAATAAACCAAACCAAAACAAGCAAAACCCCAATCTCCTTTGTTTGCAGAGTGCAGAGCTGGGCTTTATTAATTTATTTTACTGCAGTTCCCAGACTGACTCCTCTTTAAAAGGGATTGGAGTTAGTGAGGTTGAATGCCGTGAAATGTTCATTAAAGGCTACATAATGCACACACTGGCAAAAGTGACTTTAAGGTAACCATATAACCTCTTTACAAGTTTACCACGCACAACACACCTGAGTTTGGAACAAAGACATTTGCAGGAACTGGCATCGGTGCCAAGGGGGCAAACAGATCTGCTGGTGCAGGAACAGCACCACTCGACTTGGTTCCACCTGGATTCAGAACATCGACGTAACGGGCTCTGCTTCCTGCTAAAATAGAGAAATCCGGAAATAACAGAGATAAGTCTCATGTTATTCATCTCCATGTCTATTTTCAACAGTCTGCTGGTTTAATTGCCTTTCAGAATCAGAAAGTAATGCTGCAGGGATACAAACAATAATACCCAAGTCACAATGTCATGGTGACAGCAATCACAATGCAGAAGTTAGGCACAAAGCCAAAAATAGACACAGATCCATGACATCACTGAGATGCCAACTGCTCCTAAGCACCCCTAGAAAAGCCAAGAGTTTTGTCTCCATATTTTATGCAATAGAAAATGTGAAGTCTTCCATGTCTGTTACCTGCTCTTCTGGAGAACATGTTGACAGGGGCACTAGGTGGGCCTCCAGGCCCAGACGGAGCAGTCTGGGGAACTTTAGGAAATCCTGTTGGAGGTGGTGGTGGAGGTTTACTCTGCCAGGAGAACAAAAAAAAAAAAATCATTGACTAAGAGTGTCTGTCTGACTTCCTCCTTTTCCTTACCTACTCCAGAACACAAAACATTGCAAGATGCATGTCACTATACCCAATGTGGATCAATATTTCTTATCTTACTCCATATAACTCCTTATCTAACATCAAGATGTTTCTACGCATCTTGATACCCCATCTACATTCACTCTAAAAGGAAAAATTTACAACCATGGTTCTCATCATTTGCTTATGCTTTGAAATAGCTCTTGACAAATAAGGATGGACAGGGTGGGTGATTTTCCTTGCTTTCCAATGCATTACATTTTCAGAACTAAGAACTCTTCTTTACTTCCCCTCTCCCACTCACCCCCCTCGCCTGTTTTCAGCAAATCAATTAACAAGCTATTTTCCAGGTGGTATCCACTTGTATGAAGAGATGCATTGAACTAAGTTTAGAATAAATTCCTTTGTAAACTCAGTCACAACAACTGGATCTACACCAGCACGTGAAGATATAAATGGTTTCATAAATATGTGGACTATACAAATATGTAACTTGTTGCTTAGCTTCAAAATGTTGCACATTTTAATCCAAATTCAGTAAAAGTCAGTAAAATTGTAAGCCAGTACAGATTTTAGTTTGAAGAAGTAAAAGTATATTTTACCTCTTCTTCTGGTTCATCCAAATTAACCCAGCGCTGTTTCTGTTCATCCCAAACAATCTACAGGGAAACCAGAGCCAAAAATTAGCAGTTCAACAAAGCTGGAATAAACACAAATTAAGTTTTACACACATTTGTTTACTTGTTAAAACAAGGTTCATCTGTCATCCAGGAAGCCTCTCTGAACGAATTAAGATGTACGTTTTTGTGATTTAGTGGACTTACGGATTTGTTTTTGTCATCTGGAAGGTGAGCTTCATTCTTTCCTTTCCCCATCAGCCAGCGAAACCAGTTTCCACCGGTCTAAAATATAAATACATCTATTTATTTAATTTTCTCGACACTGTCTTTACAGGCAAATCAAAAGAATTTCATGCAATAATTAGTTTTCTGTTAGAGACTTCAACTGTAATATAAAAAACACCGGGAAAGATGCCCTCAGGTAAACTAAATGGTATCATTCTGAGAGATAGAAGAAAGAATTCAGAGGTAATATGCCACAAATGAAAACTAGTCCTTATAAATGGCAGCCTGAGAAAACAGGGGAAAAGGTGCCAGTGCACAGAAGTGGTGTAAGGAGAGGAAAATAAACAAGTAGGGGTAAACCCACTGTGGTGGATGGGAGTTGGATGAAAGACAAGGTGTTTGTTTTTAACGTGAAGGGAAATTGCTCTGAATTCATTCCCAGGGAAAACAAGCTGCCAGAGGAGCAATGCTTAAGTGCATGTAGAGGCAGCTAGTGGTAGCACAAACTTCAATATGGGTGTATAAAAATGTCTAGATGTTGTAAAAGCCTAGACAATGTTACCACACATCCCGCAAATCTCTACCTACAACTACCTCACTTAGCAAGTTTACCTTTCTAGATGCTGTCTCTTTTTTTACTTCTTTTTTAGTCTCTTTCCCTACAGGAACAGGTGGAGAAGGAGAAGGCTGTTTTGCTGCGGAGTTGGATCTTTCTCGTCCCACAGAATGCGCAGAGGACTCTGAAGTTGTCCGTGACCTTCGCCCATAGCCCTGTATCACAAATACATGGGAAAGCACAAAGCTGTCACTGCTGGAGCGAACTGATTACACTCCATCTTGCTAAGCAAATTCTTTCTTTGAAAAGTTAGTAATAGGAAGAAATCCAAATACACCAGTAAAAAGTAAATGTAAATAAGAACAAAGACTTAATGGAAGAAGCAGCCTGCTCATGGCATACCATATATGCTGAAGACTGAGATGCAGATCTGGATCTTCGTCCTGGTGCCTGGTTAGATATAAAGCCAGGACATGCTTAATAAGCAAGCAGCTAAATATCTGACACAACATTCACTACTACAAATTCCCATATTATTCAAGACATTCAAGCTGGTTATTTGGGTACTTCTATGTCCTCTGACGTGTAGGAGGGACCAAAAAAAAGAGCTGATGTCTGGCCAAGTAATTACACGGTCATATAACTAATCCAATACAAAGTTAAATCAGGTCACTGCTGTGCAGACCAATCAGCCCACAAGGGGAAAGATATAAAAAAGCTGCACCAGACAGCACTTGCTGCAATTCCACCCTCCCCCTCTAGATTAGGCCAGCTGTTCTTCTAATGTTCATACAGCAACTCTAACATTAAAAAAAAACAAACATTAATCACCGTTTCTTTTGTTAGCATAGTTAAGAATTAATTATTCCAATGAAGGGAAGGAGAATGGGGAAGACAACTTAAGCTTCAAACCTAGATGAAGAGCAAGACAGACCCCCAATACACTTTGTGATTGCAAAGACATGCAACACAGCTGACGTGCCAAAGAGATGTATAAAACAAAAGATACCATGCTAGCCATTCTGTTGTAGAAATCTTCCTCTCTCTGTTCAGGGAAAGAGTTTCGTGAAGGAGACTCCGGAGGAATTCTCTGCATTCCTTAAAAAGCAAAATTACACTATGTTAGTGGGGAAAAAAAACACAAAACTAAATGCTTTTAAAGTAAAGTTTTTCACTAGTTATGAGTTTTGTGCTATTAAGAGCCTGATCTTTTACAGAACATGAAATGCAGTTGGTGTGATTTTTTTGTTTCTACTGCACAGGTATTGTTTGTTCCAGATATAGGTTAGAGCAGGGTGAGCAATGCAACCATCAGAATGGAGACAATACCGGGTTCTTCATATCTCTAACACAACTGTCAACACATCTATCCTTGCCTTCACGTGTCACGTTCTGCGGTCACAGGATTAAAAATTAACAGGGTGCTAGAAGCTACTGCCCAGAGACAGAAATCCCTGATGCTCCAATCACAGACCCTCAAGACAGAGCAAGTGGCAATTGCAGTGCATTCACCAATTCCATGGTACAGAAAATTGCCTGGTTTATGTCTAAATCATGACTTGCTGATTCTGACCTCTCTTTTAAACTAAGCCAATACTAAATGAATACTAAAGCTTTCCACAGATGTTTCTGTAACTTAATATTGTCTTATTAAACATAATTACCCAAGACTTGTCTCACTATTTTATAAATTGAGATGTTTTATATTAACCCCCAAAATACTTAATTCTCCTAAGATTTCAGACCTGTTTCCAGATTTGTCTGCTCTTCTTCCCGTGATTCAGTTTCTTGCGGTGGCCCTCCTGGTGGTAGCGTTGACCCCATATACAGCGGTGATGGTTCAGCTCCATACTGATTTGAAAACCCTGGAGGTGCAAAGCCAGGGCCTGGACCAACAGGCTGAGAAGCCACTGGGTAGAAGGGGACACTTCGGACAGCTTCCTGGTCACCAGGAGGAATCACAGCAGCTGACCCATCAAGTATAGCCTGAGGTGCTAAGGCACAAAATAAAGTTAAGAGCTGTAACTAAACAGAACCTTTCATTCTGTGAATAAGATGAAATAATGCTGAAATTAAATTTCACTCTTAAATGATTTCTTATATTAGAAACCCAAAACATTTACTTTCTTTCTCATGAAGAAACATAGGAAATGTCATAAAGAAGGCTATGGGACACTAACCTGAAGGCATCAGCTGCACACTTTGCATCTGTTGAGACATATTGGGTAATAAGGATGCTAACAATGCATTTTCAGTGCCTGGGCCCATGTCATGGCCAACTCCTCCTCCATCATATTGACTGGTATGGTCTAATTCAGAGCTTGGTGTGCTACACGGATACTGTTGTGGTGTGGATCTGTCTGTGTTATAAGCTATTGCACCCCCCTGCACAAAAAAAAAAATATACTAACTCTACCAGATGTTAAGTTCATAACTAAAGAAATATATAGAAAATTAAATCTTAGGGTGATAACACTGTAATTTTTGTTGCTGCTGTTTTATTGAACTGTTAGGTCAGTTTTTGCATTTCTAATGGATCTCTTTCAATAACTATTTCTCCCTTTCCATTCTGTTACAATTTAGCTATACTAATTCACACAGCATTTTTGCTTTTTCTCCCTCCTCCCTTTTTACTGGCAAGCAGATCGCTTGCTTATAAGAGGAGTTGCTGCATTAGTTCCTTAATGAGCCTTGTGATTCTCCTCACATTATTACAGTACTAAGAAAAATCTGTCATGTAACATACACTACCCTTTAAACTACTCAGTACTGTATCTTAAGGCACTAAAGTGTGATAAATGCACTTATCTTGAATTATGATACCTGTATTTTATGGCATGGCTATATCATGAGGTAATCACTTTATACGTTTCTGTAATTAGTAATATGAATAAAGCCATTCAAAAACTGGATTTACACTAACCCTAAAAAGGGAATAGTTCACGTTGGAAAGTACATTCTTTACCTTGATCTGTCCATCCACATGGCGAAGCCTTACCAACCAGGAAGGTTCAACAAGAGATTCTTGTTCTGGTTTCTCTTTTATCTGTGGATCAAACAGGCGCAGTTGCGATGACATCTAGAAAAAGAAGTCATTGTAAAATTTCAGTTAACCAGCAACCAAAAAAGGCAACATTAGCCACAGCTTATCACCTACAGCATAAAGCCACAAACACTTAATTCTTCCGTATGTTACCTGGATTAGCTGGCCAATGAGTACAGGTGAATAGTAGTGTGGATCTTTGAGGACAGTTTTGGAAATCACTTCACAATAATGGAAGGCCTGAGCAGCAAGTCCCATTTCAGCAAGTCGGCAAGCATAGATGAATTTGAAAACCTATGGAACGCAAGCAGGTGAAATAAATCAAGCAGTGAGAACATTCTTGGGAACATCCAATGGAAATTATTATTTGCCTACAAGAAGCATCAACAAATCCTGCTAGATTTTTCTTTTGCAATATATGATAACAGAATTTAAAATTCCAAAGTTCAGAATGCACAGATAAAAAATGTTTAAAAAAAGACAGATTAAGTGACAAAACAGGGAAAAAGCTATCTTGCACTATGCTACCCATAAATATTTCCAGCTACCATGGATAAAATATCTTCTATGCTGAATAAAGCACATATGAGAGATGAACACCTCGCATAAAAGCTGCAAAAATGTATGAAATATCTCTTCACCTGGAAATTGGGCAAGCAGCCAGGTTGAGTTCCTAGTGACTGTGCGTATTCATAGGCTTCTGTTCTTTGAATGGCTTCATTGGTGGCAAACTTAAAAAATGGCAAGCTATAGGGGAATAGAAGAAAAATACTACTTGACATTCAGATCATATATAATAAATACAGATCTGTCAGAAATAAAGTCAGAAAGGTAGCTTTTAAACAGACAGTATGAGTAACTTCAACTCCTCGAACAAGGTCATGGCATCAGACATCAAAAAGGGATATTAAAAAAAAAAGGAAAGCCAAACCTATGATTTGATCCAATTAGGACAAGTTTTGTCGTCTTCCTTGTGTAAACTCCAAAACCAACTTGGGCCATAAGGTAACAGAAGTGAGCAGCATCAAGCAATCCTTTAGAAGCTGTAGAAAAATAAGTGATGTAACTCAGAATATTTTGTCTTGATAACACACCATATAATTCAGTGGTCCACACTGTTTTGGCTTTGTACTTAAATACCCTCATAGCACAGAGGAGCTTGAATAGAACTGTTCAGCTTTACATTTTACACAGCAATTGCTGTGTAAGTGCTGAGTAATTAATTTTTTTTTTCAGAAAGCTTTTCCTTCAATCATCACCAGTTCATCCCCCAGGAGTTACCAAGAGTGTCTCCCATGGTTGCAATAGTCCTGGATTCCAAGTCCACATTGTTTGCCAAGTTGGATAACACCATTGCTAGATGAGGCCTCCAGTCTCCCCATTTCTCATCTCCACAGCACTAAAATTAGAAGAATTCATTAGTCAAATCAGTGACCGAAGCTCTGCATGGTTAAGTGTTTAAACCCAAAAAAGGACAAAACTTATTTGTCTAGGAAGAGCACGTGGAAAGATTACTGTTATGAACTACGCTACTCACTGCAGTACCCCGTTAAGACTCAACTGCAGCTCACACTGCAATCTTACCGTGGATGCAGCTGGCATCCTTCCAGACATGAGCTGGTAAACAGTCTGCAGAGGGTCATTAATCGGGAGACTGTTGGCAAATCTACAGAGACATTATACAGAAAACCAAACAACAAACATTGGGTAAGCAGTTAAAATGTATTTGAACACTCAGCCACAGTTAATCTTGCTTACTTTAAGACAAGGAAGCGCTGCTTGAAAATATTACATCGAATAAGCAACTGCCCCCACTGGGTAATATCCAAAAGCAAAGCATTATTAATTACCTGCATCTGCCACTTTGACTTATACCAATCCAAGCTAGGAAAAACCTCATGATTCTCCCCATTCCAGATGACTAGACTTAGTACCTGATTTCACAAGCTCAGGAGGCAGAAAGTTTATCTGTCTATAGACAAAGCATGCACCAACACATCAACAGAAGTTGACAGTTGTTTTTTTGTGCCATCCCGTTTTCTCCCTCCACACAAAGCCTGACTAACAGCGCCTGTCAAACTAGCCCATGGATTACTGTGGTTAAAATATCCTTTAAATGGAAGGAGTGCATAGAATAACTTCTCAAGTTTAACCTTATGGCCTGGAGACCTCAGAATAAAAAGCAATGGCTTACATGAATCAACTGAACACAGATGTAAAATTAAAGCGTAATTACTGCATGAGCTATTAAAGATACCATGATTTTGACATTAAGATGTCTGAAGCACCAGACTACTCTTTAGCAGAACAGGCAGACCATTTCATATTAATCAATAACAAGCAAAATTGTACCTGGTCATAACTCTTGCATGCGTTCTGCTGTCCATCTTGCTGGCAAGTAGCAGAGCATGACCCCATAAGCCATGCTTCATGGCCGATTCCAAAGCATCCTAAATTAGTACAGAAATTAGTTTCCTCTGTTAGCTTAACATACTAGTCAGTAAGAGCGACTTTTTACAGTAGTATTTTGACTTAAAGTGTTTCTGTCATGTGCTAACACAAGAAATATAATTGCTTTATTTTATAAACTGTAGGACACAGCATTTCTCCATCAGTGCAGCACAGTGTTATGAAATATACACAATGCAAATAGCAAGAATGATTTTCACTGATGCTTAGAGCTTTCAGATATTTGAAAAATAAGTAAATAAAGTAAATAAGACAGTATTTGAATATAAGCATTCACCTTCTTACGGCCATAAAGCAGCAACTCTCTGAACCTCTCTGTCTCTTTCTCAAGAGTGTCAATCGTGGTTATAAGACTATCAGTGAGAAACGAGAGCTGAGCTTCACCAGATTCCTCTTCTACTTGTTCCAAAGCCTCATTAGTGAAATCGATCAAATTTGCTTCATTAGGGGACTTTCCAGGAAGCCATACTGTTTTATGATCTCGGAGCAAAAGTTCAGCCAAGTCTGTTCCCACAACAGTCTATAATATGCAGTAGGGAAAAAAAAAAAAAAGCTGTTATTTCAACGTTGCCTTCATGTTGTTTTCAACAAGATTTAACTATCAGCATCTCTGAGCACAAGTGACCAGATTACCTGCTCCATCAACCTATTAACTGTTCACTACAGGTAAGTCACTATACACATATTACTTCTACAGAAATACCAGTTTCTGTATAAAAGATTTTAGGAAGGACAAAAGGTCAAGCAGTGAAACATACCCCATTCTGCCTGCACAACAGAACAATGAAGTCCCAAAGCAGACTTGCAGATTCTTTGTCAATTAAATTTTCATTCTTGAAGCACTGTGTAGATTTATTTTGTGCAAAATTAATAACGTCCACTTTATGGGTGTCATCCCTGGAAGAAGAAAAAAGCATTTAATGAGGCAAATATAAAATATTCAGATCATTATTGTGACTAGCATGAGGAACAAATTTAAAGCTCACCCTACCATTTATGCAAGTAAAAAACAACAAATATTTTAGTTTAAATTCTGTAATCTACAATTGCAGGACAATAAAAACTTTGATGAAGAAATGAAATACAAATGTGAGATTTTTTTTTTAAAAAATCAGTTAGGACATACTTAGCAAGAGGACCAGGAAACGCTCTCATCTCTTCTTGCTCTGGAGAGTGCTGCATCATAGTCTAAAGACACAAACATAAACCACCAGAATTTTTTATAACTACAATTTTTTTGGTTTTAAGAATAAAAAACCAAACCCGAACATATCTATATTATCATCACAGCTATTGCTCTTGAAATATATATGGTGGCTTGCAACCTGCATAAGGATAATAAATTACAAGACCTGCTTCTTGACTGGGGGGGGGAACATTCTGTAGCAAAATACAAAAATATTCCTCGTATCTCCTCAATAATTTTCTTGCTGCCGTTCTAGTGTTTGCGTGCAATTCTACTTCCTTCTACTGATATTTTACCAATGAATCCTACTCTCATCACGTAAATCAGTCCTTACACACATTTTACATTGCTGGAGTGCTGCAGTTCTTTGTAGAGGCATAGGAAGAATAAAAATATGCACACGATATTTAATCCCCAGTCAATCAAGATAAGAAGCTGTTCTTTGTCCTTGTACATTCTCTGCAGGGCTATGATCTCTCTAGGAACAGTATTACATTAGTAACAAACAAAAAACTCCAGCACTTCTAGAAAGTAAGGATTTTACCCAAACATAATTATAAGGAGCTGGATGATCTAACCATGCCTATGTCATCTCTCATTGAAAAGAAATTGCTAAGTTACGACTTCACTTACAGCTACAGAGCAAACCACAATAGATAAATATACAAAGATTACATACACTGATGTATTAAAGAAATACAGGAAGCTACAGACCTAAGTTCCCTACTCCCCTTCCGAAAGAAAGGCCTGTACTCCTCCACCCTCCTTTTTGCTTATGAACTTTACCTCCATACTGTGTATTTCAACCAGAGCTGGCTGTCCTTCTGAAGGCAGGTTTGGCAGCACTTTTATTAAGAATCCCCCAGGACCAAACCTAGCACACAGATGAGGCACTGAAAATTTCTCAGGCGTTGAGGGCCTTAAAGGTGCTGAAGTAGGGAGAAAAGAAAATAAGATAAAGTGACCTGACTTGCAACAAAATAGACATGCTGATGTATTTATTTAATTCAACAATCCTGCAGTACTAGTGGAGAAAAAAAAGAAATACAATTTGGCTGAACTTCGTAAACAACAACTAATCAGTTCCATTAAATTCTCAGAGATCTTCTGAAGATTTGCCACAAAGAACAAAATTAGACTAAAGAACTCTAAAATCCACTTATTGCTTTAATACAGAGGATTTACTTGTTTGTCTTAGACATCTCAATATAAACGTATGACATCTTCAAAGAGCTAATGACTTCAAGAAACTCTAGAAAACCTTTTCCAGATGAACCATGTTTTCTCATGGAAAAGGGTAAAAAAAAAATGTGGATAAATCTGAAGTTTAACTTAAATTTTAATCATTCCCCCAGACGCATACACAATGCAATTAAAAAATGTATCTAAAAAAGTGTTTACAAATGCAAGTTTGCAATATTTAATGGCAATCACCATCTGGCTACTGCCGTTCTGTGAAATACCCATGTTTCAGCAAGCAAGAAGCTATCCTTTTGCTGAACAGGGAAGAACTTTGTTCATGTATACATACTGTAAATAGGAGTGCTTTCCTATTAACGGGCTTAACAAATACACAAAAGTGATCTCATGCACTACAAAACATTAACAGAATTACCACCAATAAACAACCTCACAAGCACAGTCCCTTCCCTTCTCCTTCCCCGATGGTGCCAATACCTTGTTCTACAGTTGACCATCCAGTTTCGGTCGGGTAGCCATAATCTGTAAAAGGCTGTTGTCCACCAAAGTTAGGAGCATATCCACCATACGTATAATCTGCATGCAGCGACACTGCCTGTGCAGTACTTTCATAGGCATTAGCCGTTAGATCATGGTTACTTCTATACAGCTGGCTCTAAATAGATCATATTAGTAGTCGTCAGCAGAGAGCGTGAAGTTACACAAAGCAAGCAGTACTGCAGGCATGACAAGACAGCAAGCACCCCCCCCACCATCAGCTGCTTCAGTTCTTCCAATGGTTCTTAAACCAGGTTTACTACACTTGAAAACACTGCCCTGCAAATGACCTGGTACAATAGCCTGCAGAAGATGATCTCTCAGTGGTCTCCCCTCAATGCTTTTACTACCATTTGATCTGTTCACACCCATGTTCAGTTCTCTCACCACCACAACAATCACCTGAATATTACTCGTGCTTTTCAGATATTTGTAATTATGGCATAAATAGATAAGTAGTCAGCTAGGTTGGTTTTTTGCTTGTAAAGTCAAGATGCCATCATACAAACACTGAGTTAGTCTTTTAACAGATCCCATGCTTGTGATCAGAAAAATGACAACGCCGAAAGCCAGACATCAACTCCAGCCAAGCACAGTAAAGGCAAAGTTCTCACAACCATCTGGATTCAGTATTTTTTTCATTTCTGCATGTGTGGCAACTGACACAGCTGAGTGCTGATTTTGGTTAAAGTTCTACTGATAACTGTGATAAATGCTAAATTTGAAACTACATTACAGAACAGCCTTAACTTACAGAATACAGGTTTTCAAAACACATTTTTCCCAAGCTAAAAACTGAAATATTTGCCTATTTCTAACTTTTCATCCATGCCTAAGAGAAAGGCCCAGCTTAACTGTATGAGAATACTTGATGTGACCATTTGAAGCTTACTTGCTGAGAGCGAGAGCTAAAACTGCTCCGGTGACTGTGAACACTGTGGGAGCTACGGAGACTATGAGCAGAATGCTCACTGTGAACGCTGCGTCTGTCAAATTCATCACCATAAGGATCTCTGTGAGGCTCTGCTTCATCATCAAAGCTTCCAGTAAAACGAGGATCGTATCTCCAATGATCTTCGTATCGGTCATGTCTGAAGAACAAAAGCACACCAAACAAAAATAAACAGTCAACTGTATCTAAAGGAAAGCGACTCCACTGCCTGCCTCTTTGGAAGGGAACTGTACCTAGCTTCAGAAGGGCTTCTAGATCGTTAACTAGATTTCGTTTTTTATTACAGTAAACAAACTGGTACTTCAAGAACTTCATCCAGAATATTCAAGATGAAGATTAACATCATGCTCCAAGGTTGTTTAGAACAAAAAACCAAAACCTAAACAACGTTAATCTGAAAACGTGTCATATTTGCCTTGAATCCTTTTCTTAACAGTTACATGGAAGTAAACCTGTTGTTCCTCATTTCCCTGTGTTCAAGCAAAAGAACGAACTAGCAAATGTACCTATTAAAAGTGTAATACTGCATTTTAATAGTCTGTCACAGGATGCAACTGTGTTCCTGCAGTACAGTATTGAGAGGATTTTGTTTATGAAACTGCATGATGCCCCACAATTCTGATGCCCATACAACTATCACAACAGTGCACAAATTTTTAAGGCTTTGGGGCAGATCTTTAACAAATAAAGCAGTATTTCCATTTCCTTGCCTTAGCACTTACTGCCATTATCTAGTTTCCTGATGACACATTTGAATATGAGGGCCTTAGTCCAGAAGAAAGCAATGCCAGACTGCCTGCCTTCATTCACAGTGGTTCTCTGGACACAGCACCTAAGTCCCACCCTGCCCTAGATATGGAAAGAGCAAGGACTGAATGGACAAACCTGCTGCCATATGGATATGCGTCTCTCTTCTGGTAAGGGTTGTGTTCAGCATCATACCAATACCTCTGATCGTAACTTCTAGGATCTCTGTATCTGGGGTCATATGCTGACGAGTAACGTTCCCAACGACTTGGATCTTTGGAAAATAAAAATAATGGTTTAGATACTGGAAGTTATTACCTATAACTTTTCTCTCCTTTCTCTTTAATTGCCTGATGATTTGGTCAGCAGCCCAGAAAAATAAAAACATGACTATAGTTAGCTAGATACTGTTCAGAAGACCAAGATCAGATAGACCTTTTCTAACAACTTTCAAACTTAATCATAGCATGAAAATAATTCAACAAATAGTAGCACAATCTTTGCCATCAGTTTTCAGAACTCCATGCTATATGCTTCAGGATACAGACAGATTTGCTTAAAATCCTCCTGGGCACTATCTAAGCAATTGCCTTTAGACTACTAACACCATTATGTCTCTGTGAGCATTCAGATAATTACAGACAACAACACATTCTAGTCATTAGCCAATTTCTGTTTACACCCCACCTAAATTTTACTTTAGAACTCCGCCTGCAGGTTACACACCAAGGATACAAGCCAGCAAGTGACGGGTTTGCAAAACACCAAAGAAAACCATTCTGTGGACATACCATGGTACATTTTTATACATTAAATGGCAAAGAGAAGTCTGGGAGTGAGCAAAGACTTTTATTTATTTTCTATTTACTACTTCTGCTGAATAAAAGAAATATAGGAAGGATAGCATGGTATTAAGAACTACTAAAGTAGGTCCAAAGATCAATTTCTAGCAAGTGTAACTTTATTCTCACTGGTTGTAGGAAGGATATACACACACACACATATTTAATTACAGGAAAAACACAGTAATTCTCCAATTTTAAAATTGGAGCAAAATTTATGGGGAAAAGGAGATCTGCAATTTGCTACAGAAAAATCCAGAGAATACTTTGACACCTTACCTCCATAGTCATATGCATTTGGGTAATAGCCTGGATAATAATCAGTCCATCCAGTTTTTGCATAATAATCTTCAGGATACCCCTGCCTGGAAGTACACAGACACAAGAAGTTATTGTCCCTCCTTCAATCTCTCCAAAAGTCAGCAAGAGATATGAAGAACTACATGCCACAATTGGTTAGTAGAGTTTCATATTTAAACTAATGCATTTACAGGAAACCAAATAATCATAATTGTATAATTAGATGTTTACAAAGCTATATATCACTAAGCTGTTCTGTGCCATAACAAACTGACACTACAATACCTCAGTGGCTTTTGTGAGCTGCTCTGGTCATGAGATCGGTTACTTATGGGCAATTAATCACAAAAACTACTGCTATAATTAGAATGAACTGTATCATCAGAGAGATCTGCAACCTAAATAATGAAATAATTGCTCCCTCAACTTTAGAAGTGTTTTCTTATACATCTTACGGAGATGAAAAGAGGACTACGGTCTGGAGACAAAGTCACAAAAACAAGTCAGGACGTGCACTAGTGCTCTTGTAGCTGATTCCAACCAGAAGGCTTCCAAACTGAAGTCTCTGGGGCTGCCATTGCAGCATCTGTCACCAGCATAACACACAAGTCAGAAGAGAAACAAAACCAAAACGCACTACGCTATTGTTTGGCTGCCTGGCCATCAAAGAACTCAATACTATGATTTTCTTGTTCTAATTGGAGCTCTGTTATATGCCATTCTGGGGACACTACCCAAAATTGATGAAACAAAGCTAGAAGAACGTTAGATAAGAACATAAAATTGTAGTGTGCGTACATGTATGCACGTACACTTATATGGATACGTATCTACACATTCACATGTTGATGTCTGTATATAAAACCATACGTGTGGATATAAACACTCGTGTGCATGCATTCACAAACACTCCTGTGTATACCTACACACACATGCACAGAAGGGAAAGCATTTTATCAATGGTGTGGAGTGATGGGAACTCCACGCTCCTCCCCAAAGCACTATTCATAGAAGTGATAGTGCAAACCCTGCAGTGGCCAAGCCAGTCAGGTGACACTCGGCACTGGAAAAACGTGTGGGAGCCTTGCTAACACAGCACTTAGCTCTGCAGGAGGAGTTTTGATCTTATCGGATCAAGTTTATCCACCTAACCAACCTTCTCAGTCCCCCTCAGAAAGATGGTATTCCCTCCCCCTCCCCAAACAGAATTTAAGAATCCTTGTCATCAATTATTTACAGAAATCAATGCATCACTGATACACTGTGAGAATGTTTCAGGAGCACTACCTTTGGGTACCTTGCCACAGTCTGTGCTGCCCTGCAGTACCATACTACAGCCTGCATCCAACTGCAGTCACATCACACATCAACACTGACAGAGCAACCCACAACAGGCTTTGATCTGCCCAAAGCCCTCGTAGGAATTTTAAGCTCTTCCAAACACTATGTAAAAAAGAGCATGCATCAGAAGGAGTGCTTTCTTAGAGCTACTAGACGTTATCTCCTTAGCAGATCTCACAAGGCACTCAGAGTCACTTAAGACAACGACAGAAGTTATCACAAACGGGTATGCTTATCGTTTTGTACTCCTCAGTGCCAAAGCTTCCTATAATCTTATAAAGGCAGTAAGCAGAATTTTGTTTTTAAGTTGAAGACTACTCCATGAGTGAAACACCTGTCCTGGCTTGACCTGTCAGACAAATTAACCTGACACAACCCCAGCAGTTTTCACTGGATTCATCTGCTCTTTTCGAAAAAAATGAAATGCTGTACATCAGTGAGCCACACGGGCTGCTATGCTTGCAAAGCAAATCCCCACACCAAGGTGCAAAAGTGCCGTTTATTAACAGAACTAGGGGGCTGCTGTGTAAGTGCTACCAAGAAAATAAACAAGCATTGATTAACAAACCCATGGCCTACACGGTACTTCCACGGCACGCATGTAAAAGAGCATCAAGTCTGTTGCAGTGCCTTTCTGCCAGGCAGAGAAGCTAACAGCCACCTACAGAGCTGAATGAAAGGCAGAACGAGCTGTAGCAGCAGAGCAGACTGCTGGAACCGTGTCGGTATCCTTTTCAGGCACGGCATTTGATACCGTACGTTCCTATGGCAGCACACAATGAGTTTTTGAACTTCCTCACTGCAGTTTATGCTGTAAAACTTGAACAGGTGTAATTGCACTCACTGCTCTTGGATATACCAGATCGTCACTCAGTTTAGGAGCTTCATACCTAGAAGAAGGCCTGTCAGAGCAGTGGCTGGCTCTGGAACTGGGACGTTCGGGCTCAGGGTAACGATAGCTCCCAGGCTCCATATAAGCAGCGCTGCTGCTATCGTAGTGTCTGTACCGTGGGTCGTACTGTCCGTAGCTGTCCTCCTAGAAAAGAGGTTGACATGTAAGGTAAGAGGCTGCTCAAGTCAAGAACAAATGTTTAAAAATAAACAATTGCCACAAACACCACAACCGTGATACCTGAAGAGATGAAAATCAACAGCCTATAGGACAGTTTTTGGTATACCTTGTGGCAAGGCCTATTAATATTACTTCTAGAAACTACTTCTAGACTACTTCAACCACTACTGATGGCCATTCTGCTAAACTGCCAATCAGTCAGGCAGGCAGCAGGTGAAAACAGAAACTGCCAACTTTTCCCAAACAAATAAATAGTTATCAGCTGACATCTGTGCCAACTGGAATTAGTATTAACAACTATTTTAAGATTTTTAAATCTCCATTACATAAATTTTATTACTGCAATTTAGATTTTCCCTGTAGTTAAATCCTTAATATGAACGCCATACTGAATGTTGATCGTGACACAACTATTAAAAGTTGTAATTCAAAAATAAAAACTATTGATACATGCTGAGTGTGGAAGGAAGGGGAAAACAAAAATGTATCCTACCATGTAATAAAGATGAGATGCTGCTCTGGGATCCGCAGGAGGGTACGGTGGGGGATATGGAGGCTGGTAAGCATCATAAGGATGTCTGTAGTAGTAGTAGGGGTTCTGTGGTGGACCAAAGGCATCCTGAGGAGTCTGAGGCGGGGGCGGACGCTGTGGGTCTTGCTGTGCACTTGGCACGACCGGCTGGCCGGTGCTGGTAGGAGGAGCTGTGGAAGTCTGTGCACCCGACGGCTGCCCAGGCACGGGCTGCTTCTCAGGGCTCGCCTGGTCGTACCTCGCCAGCTGTGAGGAACTGGCCTCTTGGTTCCCCAGCTCCTGGTTCTCGCACTGCTGCTGCTGCCTGTGTGGCACCAGTCCCTGCAGCAGCCGGGTAGTTGGAAGGAGCCGAGGAGTGTCCGGAAGATGCCGGTTGCTGCATCTGAGCTGCCTGCATTTGGGGCAACGCTCCCTGCCCAGCTCTGTCTGGCACAGCCTGAGGCTGTACATCTTTTGTTACCTGTTGATAGAAATGTTGTTTGTCATGTACCTCAGGACCCACCTGGCCAGCACCGACTGACTGCGGAGGATACGCGGGACCAGAAAGCGACTGACTGTGCGCTTGCACAGCGTTACTCGCGCTGCTTTTCTCCAATGTCCGTGGCACTGTAAAGTCAAGCACTCCAGCAGCTTCTTCTTTGTTATTTGAGCGATTTGCAGAACTATTAGCCTGTACTACGGAATTAACAGGTGGCAGCAGCACACTTCCACTGGGAAGATTAATCCCAGGAGAGACGGATGAATTAGCTCCCGGTTTGCTAGCAAATTCAGGAACAAAACCTTCAAAATTAACATTCTTTTGCCCTTCAGGAGCTAAATTAAGCGGTGTTTTCATGAGCAAGTTTGCAGGCTGATTAGAGGCAGTATCAGAGGAATTAACAGGGCTTTGCAATAAATTATGTTTTAACAGATTAGTATTTGGAGGTGCATTAACTAACAGAGATCCAACTTGCATCACAGGCAGCGGTGCATTTTCCCCCGAGATGATCCCACCAGTATGTGAAGTCTGGGGGCCCATCGAAGGCTTGTCCCCAACCCCGGCATCCTTCATTGGCTGATTTTCATTGCTGCTTAGCTGATTAGATAGAGAAATAGAAAAATTAATTGGCTGAGCCAAGTTATAGCTTTGATTAGGCTGAGCAATCAGGATAGGCTGATTTTGCAAAGACTCCGTAGGTGGAGAAGACAACAAACTTGCATAACCAGAACTTGCCTGAGACTGAAGTGCCTCCTCTTCTCCCATTTTGGGAGGATTCTCAAGATTTTCAGAAGATATATTTCCATCTTGGGAAGGCTGCACAGCAATATTCCCTGGTTTATTTGGCTGCTGATTAGGCAGGCCTTCTTCTGGTGGCTGAATGACTTCCACAGTTTGTTTGGCAGGTACATACACCGCAGGAGCAGCAGGAGCTAGAAGAACATTTCCCCCAAAATTAGGTAATTCATTATGAGCCCACAGAGTTGTTGCTGGGCTGTCACACTTCTTAATTGCTCCCTGAGCTCTCGTTGAAGACCTTCGCTCAGACAACGACTGCATGTTTTCTGTAACAGCTCCAGAATGCAACATGTTTCCAGCTTCACCAGTAACTGCAAGAGGCAGCGGGTATACCTGAGGCATAAAAATAGTTTCCAGATTATCTGGTGGCTGTTCGAGATTGCCTGGTGATGCAGCTGGCACGGCTGTGTTCTTCTTGGTGTTCTTTTGGTTTGAGTGGTTCTCTCTTAACTCGACCACCATCTTTGCCTGGTCAATTTCTGCAGGTTTTATGCCAACTCCGTGGGACCTCACAGGTTCAAAAGAACTGTTTGCGCTCGTCTGAAACACTCCTGTAGGCTTGGGAGGGCTTGGAGTTGGAGGCTGGGAGAGGTTACTATGGTAGCTCTTGCTCAGGTTTACCTCGCCTGAATCACCTCCCAGAGGAGAAGAGTCGATCTGTTTGAAGAAGCGAGCAGAGGATTCTTCATCAGGCTTCCCACTTTCTTGCTGAATAAACGTACCGACTTGCTCGGGAGGCCTCGCTGAGCTCGAAGCACTCCTATGGCTAATGTTGCTATAGTTTGAAGATACGCTATCGGGCCGGACAGGATGAGGTAAGGAATCAGGTGCCTCCAAATTTGGTCCTCCTTCAGCATGGCTCACAACAGCGTTCTTTGGAAGCATCTGCCCCGGCAGGGCTCCGTATCGGTACAGATCAGGGTGAGCAGGAGGGGATGAAGCGTTCACGTTGTGCGGCTCGCTTGGCAGCACTTCCTGATTCTGAATGCACTCCAGGTTCTCCACGTTTTCGTACTGTGACCCACCGTTACCGGCTGCATCACCTGCGCACGCTTTGTCATCACCGATAAACATCGCGTGCTTGGCAGCCTGTGCCTCCTGCTGGCTAATAATTTTAGGGAAATACTGCACATCCATTCCTTTTTGTACCACCTCGTTGGCCGAACCTGCACCGACCTGCGCCAGAACATTCGTTGCAGCCCACTGAGGCTGCATGGGCTGGTGATACAGGGGCGACGAATTTGGCTGAGAAGCAAACTCGGTTTTCTCAACCATGTAATTTTTTTCAGATGAAAGTATTTCTTCATTCTCTGCCTCATCCCCTTTGAAAAACATGGAGATGGTTCCCGAATCTCGGTCTGTGGGAACAGGTCTATTTGATGTTTCAGCCACACCCGGAGATTGTTTTTTGGGGTTGTTTTCCTGAGTTGTGGGAATGACAAAATTGGAGTCTTGCAAGGGTGGCTGTGGGTAAAACTGGTCCTGGTAAGTTTGATTTAACCAAGCATTAGTCATTTCTGCGTTCTGCCTAAACACATTGCCAGGCTGGATGCTGTTCATGTGATGACCATGGTTTGCAGAGACATTTTTCCCATTCTTTTCACAACCAACAGATAAAGGCGCTTGCACGGGATTTTGTGGAACACCTTGATGTACAGGAGCATGCTGCAAATTCGTCTGTGGGGGAGGATGAGGAGGGCTGACCGAAGACTGAGAAATGTTGTGAATGTCAGGCTGAGAAGACGGCTCAGGATGGGGCACAAAATTTCGAACTGGAGACTGCAGGTTACCTTGGCCAGGTCTCCACTGAGACACGGGCTGCTGAGGAGGTGGAGGGAAGACTGCTGCTGCAGCGGGTCCCGAAGGAACATCGCTCGGATCTCTGCTAGCATCTTGCCTGCCTCCAGGTCTGTTTGACATAGACACCATTCCAGGATGCACACCGAAAGAATTTTCAAGTGCTGCTCCTGTATTATAATGCAAAGGTACCGCAGAGCCGTGGAGTCCCAGCTCTGCGTTGGGATGCATTTCTGTAGTGCTATTTATAACGTATCCTGGGGACGGTGAAGGAACTGGAACGTTAGAAAAGGTACTGGTGTTTATTCCTGGTTGGGGAACAGGAGCTGACAAAGACGTGTGCAGTCCATGAGGATTGTCCCCTGTGTGTGAGGGTGAAGGATGCAGAACAGCTGGCTGGGGAAACGCCGCCGGGGAAGAACTTGGCATAACCAACGCATTGCCCTTGGATGGATTATCTAAAGGGGAACCCTGGGGAGTTTGTCTGCCAAAGGCAAAAGGGTCTGTCACAGGCTGCACCGGGGCAGCTGCTGCATTTGCTCGTTTACTCAGCGAGGTGTTTCTCCAGTAAACGTTCCGGGCAAGGCCTGCAGGAGGTGGAGCTGCTGCTCCCGCTGGAACAGTCTGTGGAGGCTGCTGCATGATGGCCTTCCAGCAGGGTCAGATGCCAGATGAAAAGCTAGCACTGGATGCCGTCAACAGATTCCTTCTTCCACCCTGTTAAGGCAAAAAGACGATGAGTCAGTTTGTTTTCTTGCAACACATGTAGCAAGCACTTTTGCAACTGTTATTTTAGAAACAAAATTACCCAAAAAACTTGGAATAAAAGATGTTCTCCAGAGCCTAGGAGAAATTCACACTTAACATTGTATTTCTGAATGCAAGCACAGTGTTAATGAAGCTTAAAGCTGAGTGGTAACAGTGCACATCCTTTAACAAATAGCTCCAAGAGGGACCCAAACACAGTTTGGGCCTGTACAAAATTTAAAGTCTCAGAGTCTCATAACAGCACCAGTGGGATTATCCTGTTACATTTCCCCAAATCTGTTTGAAGCAGAAGTACACATCATAGAGGCAAACACAGCAACAGCTGGTCTCCAACAGCATCTGCAATCGCTTTGGCAAGCTCAGTTTAGTTAAGAAACACTGAGAAAATGTTGTTAGAGACAATACTTCTGCAGCTCTGTCGCTTAATGTGAACGGACCATTTTACAGGTAAAGTGAGAAGCACTCCCAGTACTCATCGGATGTTACTACCCAGAACAGAATGCACTCGGGTAAGAAAATATCGTTCAGGGCAGTAGTGTTATTTATTCTGAGACTGCTCTGCCACCAAGAACTCCAAACAGCACCGGTCAGGAATTTGGTGCCCATGAAGCTCAGTGAGTAGAAACGTGTATTTTTCATCATCCCTTACCAATCTGGGGAGGAGGGCAGCTGACAAAATGAGTTCTTCGCTACTTGTCCAGCTCAGCAAGGCTTTAGTAACACACGGTTTCTAATTGTATGTAACGAACTTGGTCTGCATCACACAGGCTGCCCATCACAGCTATTTCATGCCAGGTGCAATTCTGTTTACAGGAGACAGGCAAAAGCTGTGCAATTCTTGTGTTTATTTTCTTATTTCAAAGATTCAGCACCTTGCCACTAACAGTAATAAATCACTTTTCCTACTCAAGCCAAAGTTTTCACAGTTACAGAGCAGTTTAAATGCAAGAAACTTCTGGTTTCAGGTTTAAGAAAAAGACTGAGTAAACACTGCACAACTGTGTGCATTCCATGAAGATTTACAAAGAAAAAACTCCTGTAAAAGCATTCATGGCCAGTACACACAGCTCAGTCTACGTAGATTTTTTCCAAATCAGTACATGCTTAACCTCTTCTGCTCATCACTGAGAGCCCAGCAGCCTGATGTGTTATTGAGGCCCCTCTTTCAGGGCACCAGAAACATCAGTCAGCAGGGATTGGGTCTCTCAATTTCTCCTCCGTGTTCATATATTTCATAGCCTTGACTGACTGCGTCAATTCTTATGCTTAGACTTCATAAACTCGTTAAACCTTTTCTTTTATTAAAATGGGAAATGGGACCAGAAGCAGATTTCAACAGAAAAGCACTGAACAGAAAGCTTTTTATCGTGCATTACTTACATTTGTATTTATTTTTTTTTAAACCACATCTGCCTGTTGAATTCGTCTCAAGGAATACTTACAGAGGAGTTTTAGTGCTGTGCAATCATTTCTCCTTTACTGACACCAAGGCGAAGTTTTTCCAGCTGTGCACGATTACTGCCAACCACGATGACACCAAGAAACCCTGCACAGTCACCTCCCTCAGTTTCCACACGCTTAGGAAACCCCAGGGACATCTCTAAAGCTGTGCTGGACACCCCCATTTATTGTTTGTCATGTTCTGTGTGTCAGCTTAACTGAAAAACTCCTCTCCCCTCCCTCTAAATAAACTAGTGCCTTTATACAACACGTTGCAAATTGGGAAGAAAAATAAAAGGTAATAAAATCACCTGCAGAGATGGTTCCCTCCTGGAAAGCACTAACCTCGCTGAACAGAAGGTCAATATTTACCAAACAGTTCGGTTATTAATACAAGAATTATGTGAAGCCGTTGAGCACAAAGGCCAGCTGTTTTGTAACTTAAATGCCCACTTCCACATTTGATGTTGGCCCCACTCTCATAATAGCCTGGGCTAGTAATTAGCTAATTAGAGTCAGCATAAAGTTCTGTGTTTAAGTGCTGCCTTGCAACTCCTATAACGAGACCTCTAACATCACGTTACTGAGGTTCAATACGAGGGCATCAGACTCCTACAAGAAGTTAATATTAACAGGTTGCACACTGTACTAGAAGTATGCAGGATTTGAAGAATTTAGTCCAAATAAAATGAACGTGCCCATGTCAGGTAGTTTAAACAGGAGATATCAGCTCCTAGACACTGACCCTCCCTGCCTCCAGTATTAACAGAAAGGCTAATTTGTGTAAATGAGTAATAATTACATAACTGAAGAACAATCCAACTCTTTGCCTTATCTGGTTTGGAAATTCTTAACTTCCCAAAGGTTTATTAATGGGTAATACAGAGCAGCCTGCCAGACATCAGTCACTACAAACAATGACTGCAGAAGGTGTTTCCAACCACGTCAAGAAAATTTGGGCCAAAAAGGAAAAAAACAAGGAGAGCTGCCCTCGGGACAGGGCCAGCAATAAGCCCCACCTGACAGGCTCTGTGGTCACGATGGGCTTTAACTCCTCTGTGAGAACCTACCTACATGAAGGAATAATTGGGGGAAATTTGTTTAATACCATCTCCATGTATTTATACCAAATAAGTTACTCTTAAACAAGAAGAAGTATGCAGGTTACAGAGTACTAACGTTAATTCTGTATGTCTATATGTGTTTGTATGTGTACACATGATTGTATACAAATGATTGTGCACACAAGTGCCTACACCAAACAACAAATACATTCAGATATTCCTAACAAATAGAAAGGAATAAACAGAACGAAGCACTGCAGTGCCACAGACACAGATAGCTGGGATACGCAGCTTGTACAAAGCCAGCATTTGGGCCATGGGTTTATTTTTCCCAGCGCAGGCAGCCGCACACAGCAGGCAGGTGGAGGGGCTGGGGGTGTTTTGCACCTTCAGCAGTGCTGCCTGCTCCCTGCCAGCTTTCCGATAAGCGGGCCCTACAGGTGATAACGCAGTGCTGCGAGAAGAGCCAAAAAACACCGAAAACACGACTTGAAGCTGGCAGAAACCCACAAAGCCAGCACCTCCCCGAGCCCCTCGCTCCTACCCCAGCCTTTTAGGGCCCGTGCCACCGAGTCAGCGCCAGCCGCCGCCCCGGAGCGCTCAGCCCTCGGCAATTGGGCTGTAGGGAAACTAAAACCCGCCTCAGCCTGACGAGAAGCGCCTCGCCACAGACCGGCACCCGGTAACGACCGCCTCGAGCGGGACCCCGGCGGGCACAAACCCCGCTCCCGGCCCCGTGCTCCCTTTAAACCCCCCCTCAGCGGCCTCCCCCTGTACCTGCCGCCAGCCGCCGCCGCCACCGGAGCCCCCTCAGCGCCGGGCGCCTCCGCCCCCCCTCAGCGCGGCCGCGGCCCCCCCGGCCGCCATCTTGGCACATCCGGCCCCCCGCTTCCGCCCCCGGTGCTGACGTGTCCCGCCGCGCACGCGCGGTGACGCCGAACCGGTTGGCACGGGGCGGGGCGCGGCGCGCACGCGCCGGGTGATGAGGGCGGGAGCGGCTCCGCTAAGCCCCGCCCCGCCCCGCCCCGCCGCGCCGTGGCTCGGCGCAAGCGCAACGCGGCTGCGGGCCGGGAGGTCGCGGGTTCGAATCCCGGCTCGGGCGGCTCGCAGCGCGGCCGGGGGGTGCGAAGGGTTTTTGTCGCCCTCAAGCCCCGCTCCGCCCGGTTTGGGCCGTGGGGGTCTCCTCCCTTCTCCCTCGTGAAGCCCAAGCCGAGCCCGGCCCCTGTGGGCTGGGATTTGCTGTGATCCCCCCTCAGGAGGCTGCGGTGCTGAAGGCGGCCGCCAGGGCGGGATAAAGGGCTGCGGTCGGGCCTCCTCTCGTGGCCTCCTTCCCTCCTGGCTTCCCCTTTTCCCTTCCTCCTGGCCCTCCTCCTTCCCTCCCTCATTCCCCACACAGCTCCGGCTTTGCCCAGGGTTTCCTTACGCTGCCCCCCGCCCCGCGGCCTGCTGAAGCACCCGAAGCTGTTTTGGGGGAGAAAGAGGCAATTCAAGAAAACGCCTCCGTCCTTCACCTCCTCGAGTTCCCGGCCTCACGGATAAAGTGGATTTAATCTGTGAAGCCTGCTTAATTATGCAGAGGGATGTTAATTGTGTGGGTGCATGGGTGGACAAGCGTCCAAAGTCGGCGGTGTCACAGATGCCAAAGTCCAGCCCTGTGCACGTAGCCACCTCTGTGCTGCATTAAATAAAAGACTTAAAAAAGCACTTTTCTAAAGCATATTCAGTGTTCTTTTATTTCAGATAAGACGGGAGCATAATATCAAACGGCTATGTGCAAGCCTAGAGATTTTACTCGACTCTCCTTTGTGTTGCGGTGCGGCTCTGAGGGCCTGTTCCATGGGAACACAAAGCGTTTTTGGGGTGGCATTGTTCACGTGTGAGACCGGCCTCTCATTTAGCAGAGTTTGTACACAAGCAGTGGTCGCTCTGCCCATATTGTCGCACTCCACGCCGAACAACAGGCCCTGGAGGGGAAAATACAAATGACCTAAACAAACATCTTAATCAAGGGTCATTATCAGTGCAGGAGCTGTTTCTGCACGCTTGATCATTAAAGCAGGGTAATATCCTCAAAGCTCAGTCCAGGCAGGGGAAGCAGCACTTTGATGCTGGTGTGGGAACCAGAGGCAGTGCTGTGATTTTTAAAGTGCCTTTCATCTCCCTCTTTTGTAGGAACATTCTTATAAACCAGCTTGTCAAATACAATTTCCCTACACAGGCATGAATTGCAGATAAAGCCCTGGTGTCCCCTTGATATCTTCCCCAACAGGTGTCATCTGAAGAACCACAATTTTAATTAGCCTGATTGACTTTTTAAATATATACGTATTCTGTAAATACCATCATCAGCTTACACCTGTATCTATAGCTAGATATTTACATTATATATCTAACGTAACCCTATCTAACCCTCTTACAGACACACAATTCAGTACTAATGACGGACTTTGCTGTTCTCCTGTTAAATATGTGACTGTGAAGAATTGTCACATGAAGGCATTTAATCCCTTTTTACCACAAAGAGGTAAAAACTAACTTATTTGCTTCAGCAAATGCAGCCAGCTCTGGACTTGAGTGACATGCTGCAAATAAAAAGGTATGTTGAAGGGAAGAGGGCAGTATACACCTTTCTGTCCCCCTTCGTCGTCTTCCTTGGGGTACAGCAGAAGCGAGACCGACCTTTTGCCATGAAGTTATGATAATTCGGCCTTCGGCTTGCAGGCAACCGTAAACACAGCACCACCCCAGGGAGCTTCCTATTAAAATGATTTTTCTGAGTTTAGAAACAGGAACAACGTCTAAAGGAGAGTTTCTGTTATGAGTATTGGTAATCTGTATCAGGTTAGCCAACTCGGACAAGCTGAGTTTTATTTACTTACTGGCTTAGTTGCTGTGCTTATTCAGGCTACCCCAACCACATTAACCGATGTGTAATTCGAGAGGCTACACCTTAGATGAATTTGGCTCCTTTTGTGCATTCTTCAGGGGGTGATTTGAGCTGCAGTAACAATTCAGCAATCAGGGTTCGAGCAGCTGTTAGCAACTGTCTGAGCAAACACCAATAGCCTGGAGGTAAAAGCAATACAGAGTAGCAATTTCTAAATGTCCCATCTAATTGAGCAGGAATAATGAAAACAAAGATTTTTTTTTTTAAAAAAAAAAAAAGCCCTCCAGCATGTAAATAAATAGTTCAGATGCACCCTCATAGCAACAACATGCGTACCATTGGAATAGCTCGGTTCTAATCTTGTTTTATGCAAACACTTCTGAACTCTTCCCTTGGCATGGGATATAATTTTAGTGCTTCTCAGCCTTTTTCACCTGGAATCCTAAAACAACCATGCACACCACAACCCACTCATCTCTCGGCATCTTCTGTTGACGTGAGGGCTTGGGATTCAGCTCCTGGCATCTTTACCGACACAAGGGCTTGAGATTGTGGTCGGACAGCACGAGTTGGTTGGAGGGGGGTGGAGAAATGCAAAGCCTCCTGGATAGAGAGTTTGTGGGAAAGCCCTAAGTGTGTGGGGAGAAAAACTTTCACTGTGGAAGCCTTCTCTGACTTCTAGTTTGAATTATTTTGTGGCCAATTTATTAGTATATATTCACGTGCCAATGCAGACCATTTCTTTTGGCCCCTTTCAGCAAAATTTGCTGCATTCAGCCTTCTCTTCCCTCATGCCATCCCCCTGACGGACCCTCACGGATTCCACAGGCTGTGCAGCCACCTCACTTCTTTAAACGAGCCACGTTTTCAGCTGCCTCTCGCAGTGCCACTTTTTGCATATCTTCATAGCCCTTTTTCATGCCTGTTCCAGGCCAAATTCCTGCCTTGACCACGAAAGACCGAAGCATTACATGCAGCCAGGCGCAGGGCCGGGAGAAAGTCTCACTAATGCCTCATGGGCCCCGGTGTCGCTGCCAACCCCAAGGCCTGCCATGCTTGCTGATGGCTAAGGACACGAACTCTGGGATGTGTATCCCAGATCGCCCCCCTTAAATCCAAAATTCACTGGTGCTGGATGGTGTGTAAAATGCTGTGGGGTGCCTGGGACTGACAAAGAAACCCAAGCTCACTGAAGCCTGCATTGATACGGATAGATGCTGGGGGCACGAGCAGTTGCTGCAGCAGCTGGTGTAGCTTCTGCAGTCTGGCAGGGGACACTTAGGGCAAAAAGGGGTCTGCTGGGGACTTCTGACCTGTTGTACAGCAAATGTCTGAAGGCCCTGAATCCATCTGGGGCTGGGCATTCAGTACATGTACACACATGCCCGCTTCCTCCCCGGCTGCCGAGTGGAAAATACCAGCAGCATTCCAGGGGTACCGGGCTTATCTGCCTTGGGAGGAGGGCTGCAGCTCGGCTATTTATGTCCAGGTATTTGGGGATGTTGCAGTTGCATTTGGAATACAGAGTCCCTGGGGGAAAGAGAAAAGATTGAAATTAATTGCCTTAAAGATCCTGAGTGCAGGAAGCTCAGCGTTACTGCGTGACGGGCTTTGTGCACTGAGCGCAGGACTCGCGCTCTGGTGCTGCTTCCCCTCAGCCGAGTCTTCAGATGCCTCCGGTCTGTGTCTGTGCAAGCAACCACATTTGAGAGCTCAGCCACATGCTCAGCTGTGTGTGAAGTAGGAAGCACGATACATAATTCTTATCACCACTCCTAGAGGGATGTGTTTCTAGAGACCCCAAATAATTAAAGGCATGTGGCCGTGCTTTACCCTTCTCCCATCAGCTGCAGAGTTATCCCGAAAATCTGCTGCTAGCCATCAGGAGACAATGATTTTAAG